GTGAAGCAAGCAATCAGCAATAAGTGTCACGGCGGACATCAGAGGAACGGTTCATCTTACGAGTCCCATGCCACGACCATAAACTTCAATGCCCCCTTCACCTTGTTCAACGTCAGCCTTTCCGCTAGTGCCACTGCACAAGCAAGCCTTGGGCTCGTCTCGCATCGCACAACGATTTCAATTTCTACGGATATTGAAACGAACGGCTCGTCAGCACCGCCAACTACTTTGATCCAATTCAATCTACCGGAATGGCTGCACCGTTGGGCATCAAATCGGTCGATCTTCCGACGGTATATTCGACAGCGGTCACTGGGTTCTGATCCGCCTCACTCTTCGAGGTAATCAACTGAGCAGTCAGCCTTGGCTTCCCGGCGGCTGGGCACACGTTGGGCCGCTAGAGATATGTTGTACTCCCACAAGGCACCTCCAAGGCACCCGGCTAACTTGCCTAGGAAGTACAGAACTAGGCATGCAGCTACAACACACGTTTTGCCCAGTGAATAGATATCGGAGCGATCCATGCCCTCTTAATATAACGTTGCTTGAGTTTGTTGGTCTATGAGACGAGTGATCGTCGTACTGGCCGAGGAGGAAATCTCGTCACAGCCACGTGAAACACTAAGGTACCTAGTAGTTGTACACTTTAGAAAGGACCAACCCGTCCCCGATGGGCCTAACTTGCACAGTGCCTGCTTCGCTGGACTGCACCTTCCCGAAGCACTTCTTGTTCGCCCGACGATAGAGTGCAATCAGAAGCAGGACGCATGCCATTGACAACGCCATGAAGACCACGGCAATGGTCCAGCCCCGGTGGTAGAAAGGGCGATCATCAGCACGGAACAGTTGGGCACCGATGAGACCGGCCACATTGGCCGACATGATGAAACAGGCCTACCATGTCAGTGAGAAGGGTACCCTGTGGCGTGTCCGTAAAGAAGTACTTACCATTCTCATTGAACGTTCACTTGGTGTCTGAGCATTAAGCGACAGCCAAGAGCCATGGACAGCATCTGAATAATCAAGTCAGTTTTGATTCCAGTAGACAATCTCCGAGAAGAATATTGATCCCGGTGAGCATTCTACTCACGCCACCAGGAGGTTGTTCCCGCAGCCATTGTCAATAAGCCAAATTTGGTGCTCGCTGCAGCATCATCTGGAAGGCACTTGTACGCAAGCTAGTGAGGCACACGTCAGACTCGGCAGCGAACTCCCCCGCTCTTCCGAATTTTACCTACCGTGAATACAAACTGAATGCTCACGGCACTAAGCACTAGGCAGCCTCGGCGACCCCATGTATCACTATATCTGGTTAATCCCTTGTTGGACTTTCGACCGGTATACAGTAGTGATGCTTACGCAAGCCAGCCGAGGAACAGGGTCAGAGCCACACCCATCCACTGCCCGACGGAAGTCAACGCATTAGACTGCAGGCGTTCATATCCGAAAGAATTGACAATGCTCGGCGCATATGACCAAAGAGCGATGCTGGGGGCCAGTCCAACAGACGTCAGCAGGATGTGGGGCCATAACTTGTAATCTGCCACGGCACGCTGTAGGTCGCCGAGATTGATCGAGGTCTTGGTGGTCGCCTTATTCGGGTCATCAATAATGATACGATCTCGAAGAATCGTAATCTCGCGGTCCGTGAAGAAACGTACGCCAAGCAGCGACACAGGATTCGATGGAATACCCGGGAACAGGGCGAAGAAGCAGAAGCCAGCAACAAGCGTCAGCAGTCCCTCGAGGATGAACAGCCACTGCCAGCCAGCCAGTCCTGTAACGCCACGCATCTGAAGTATGCCGTACGCTAGGAGACCTCCGGATGCAGTGGCAAAGCCGTTGCCCATGAAGTACAACGCGAAGCGCTTGCTCAATTCGGGGCCCTTGTACCACAGAGACAGCGTGTAGAGTCCGCCAGGTATATATCCTGACTCCAATAATCCGAGAAGCAGCCGGGTGGTAAGCCATGCTGGAAGCCCGCTCTGGAAAGCTTGGAAAGTGGCAACAAGTCCCCTGACATGATGTATTAGCCAAGGTAGTGCGAGCAGACGAGGTGGCTTCTTCACTCACCAAGCAACTATTTGGCAGCTGAGCCAGATTTTGGGCCCCACACGATACAAAACGATGTTGCTTGGGATTTCGAGAAGGATGATACCGGCATTGAGAAGCTGCATGCCGACGTTAAACTGGTTTTGCGTAATCCCAACGTCCTTGAGAAACCCGTCCGTCAAGGCATTTCCGGCATTGGAGCGATCGAGCTGCAGGACAAAGAATGCGAACATGAGAAGAGGCATGACAATACAATCAGCCTTGCGCACCGCGGCCTTTTCCTCGGCATCGGTCCACGTTCGCTCCGGAATCTGCCTCTCAGATTCCGGGCCGGAGCCAAAGTGGGGCGACGTCTGCGGGTGTTTCTCGTCAACCGATGGAGGCACCGAGGTCAGTTGGGTATTGACTCGATCCGACTTGGGTTCTGCCATGGCTTCGTTGGAGGAGAGGCGAATAGCTGGTAAATTTAGTGAAGCCACCAGGATGTTTTCGCTTGGTGTAGAGAGTTGCTGGAAGTCGGTCTGCGTGAAAAGTGTTTGCAGTGTCACCAAGTCTGTTGGATTGCCGCTCATAAATTGAGGGTTCTCAGTGCCAGGGCATCGAGGCTAAATACCAATCTTCAGAGGCAATCCCCGACAATCCATAGATGTCGCAATCAATACCCGCAGTGACGCCTCATGGTGTTTTGACGAGATAGTCAAGGCTCAGCCAATATTATGGCGCATCACCATCAAAGAGGGTGACCAGTCTCGAGCAACATGTTCAATGAAACGGGTGTGCCGCGGAAGTGCGAGTGAAGCGGGGGCGGGGGCGGACGTGCCTGTGGGTGCGGGCAAGATATCAAACTCACCCGCTCCGGACCCCTCGATCGGCGGTCGCCGGTCCTGGAGACATGCAGATTGTCATGAAGACGAAGTCCTTTCTGCTCTGATCTCGTTAGTTCGTAATTGTATCATAATTAGCACGCTTGCATCACGCGCCACACGAGGATTTCCTGCGTCTAGATCTTCAGTGTGTTGTTTCATCGGTCGCAAACTGCTACCACATAAAGTTATGCTACCATCCGCCCTGTCAAGTGGCACATCTCGAACAACAACGACCGAGGACCAACATCTGATCGGCTATGTATTTTCCGATGATCTTTCTGGCCGCCGCCGCAACCCTTACTCTGGCGGATATGACATACAAATCCCGGCCAGACCTCAATCCGATCAAATTGAATATTACGATCCCGTGCGACGACTTATGTGAGCCAGGTTACCTCTTCGTTGCCCCCTTCAGTGGAACCGGGGTAGAGGCGCCACCCAAAGGCCCAGCACAACAGGGCGCCTACATAATTCGCAATGACGGCGATCTCGTGTGGGACGGATACACCTACTTCTCCCCTTGGACTGGAAACTTCCAGGCCGCCCGTTGGAATGGTTCAGACATTATGTTCGCTTTTGAAGGCTCGCACAATGGTCTGCACGGCCACGGACACGGTCGCCATGTCCTGTTGAACCAGAATTACGAGGTGATCAGGTCACTGAGAGCTGGTGGACATTTCATTAGCGACAAGCATGAGTTCATCATCATCAACGAGAAGACGGCGCTTCTTCAGATTTATCAGCCGCTGCAGATGGACCTGAGTGGCTACGGCGGCGATGAAGATCAGACTTGGATAGTAGACGCGATATTTCAAGGTTTTTGGCCCCTCCTCCTCAGTACAACACTTGCTTGGGCTGACACGCGGCGGCTGAAGAGGTCGACATTGAGTCTGGCCGTGTCCTATTTGAGTGGAGAAGCTTAGACTTCGTAACGCCAAATGGTAAGATGCCTCAGTGGAATCCTGATCTATGTTTAGAAGATGTTAACAGAGGGCCCTAGAGACCTCGCTTCCCCTGCCACTAGGTCAAGCAGGGTCTGGAACTCACAGTACGACAGCCTGGGACTACTTTCACATCAACTCGATCACCAAAGGCGACGATGGACACTATCTACTTTCTGCGCGTCACGCCTCGACCATTTACAAACTAAACGGCACAGATGGCTCAATCATCTGGCGCCTTGGTGGTCCAATGTCCGATTTCATCCTGGGTCAGGACGTCCCATTTGGGTTCCAGCATCACGCGCGCTATCTCCCAGCCATCAATGCTTCGACAGAGGTTATATCTCTTTTTGACAACTCATTCTACGGCTCGGAATCCGCTGGAGGTGGCGATAAAGCAATCCGGCTGCACCCCTTTTCGAGAGGTAAATACATAGCGCTGAATCACGAAAGCGGCCTGGCGACGCTGCTTACCGCTTTCCACCCGCCCAAGAACTCGATTCTCTCCAAATCACAAGGTTCTCTTCAGACACTGCCAGGTGGAGGTGCGTTGTTGAACTGGGGATCCGAAGGCCAATTGACAGAGTATACATCGGAAGGGGACATCGCCTTCCACGCCGGCTTTGGTGATGGGCCCTTAGGAGAGATGGAGCAACACAACTACAGAGCTTTCCGGTACAACTGGACTGGCATCTCAGCAGAGGCGCCCGCAGTTTATGCTGAGGAGGTAGACGACGGCACAGTCATACTCTACGTGAGCTGGAATGGTGACACGAGAACCTCCAGATGGAGGTTCTCTTGGAAGGAGGAGCTGGAAAGCCGCCCAGATCAAGTTCAAGTCAAGAACCAGGAGACTCACCGGACTGGGTTTGAAACCTCCCTGACTATCCGGTCTCGAGGAGCATCCATTTCGCAAGTGGTCGCTGAGGCACTGGATGTCCATGACAGTATCCTCGCAAGATCCGATCCAGTATCGATCGCAATTGCGCTTCCAAAAGCTGTCAAGGGTCACCAAGAGACCTCTGAGTTGCAACAGGTCGAACAGGGCACAGGAGTGGTGTTTCAGGAGCTTTGATTGTGCGCTGTGCGCCACGAGATCACTGGTCAGCTCAGTATGCTCATCCCTCTACCTCATATTGTTTCAATAAGCAACGCCTGAGAACACCTCATTATACCAAACGTCGAAATCTTCAAACTGTTCCACGTCATACAAAACAGCAGGGTCCCATGTCTCGGATGCTGCTGGGCTTTCCCAGAGCATAGGTCTCATTCCGGAGACCGGATCCAAGTCAAGGAATTTGGCCAAGATGTCCTGACTTGCGATGAGTTCGTCGATAGCTTCACGCTGCTTCTCCTCTATCGTTCCATCACGCATACGCATGACCTTGATGACAAGCTCCTCCTCGACGGAGAGGAGAACCTCGATCAGCGTAGCGCACTTCGCGGCGAGGACGTCGCATGCTCGCTTACGCAAACGTTCGCCCGCTTTTGAAAGGAGCTGTCGATATTCAATGGCGGTTTCACTAGTGTGCGAAGACTGGTGGAGAAGCTCCAGGCCCAAAACTATGACAGCCGTGATACAAAAGGCTGTCTGTGTCCAGATAGCCACTGTGTCTTCAGACGCTGCGCGTTCATGCTCTCTAAGTATAGTGACCGCTGCCGCGGTACATGTGGCTCTTGTTCTAGGGAAAAGTGAGCTCTGGAATGAGTAGAATAGTAGTGGTCGATGAATGTTGATGATTTTGTCAGCAGCGGAGATTGCCATGGTGCGTCTTGCGGTGGGAAGCCAAGGGAGAGAGATAAGGGGACCCTGGAAGTCCCTGTGGTCCTCCCGCAAGAGACATGTTGGTAGGCTGTGGATATTCCGACGCATATCGGCATCACATCTTAATACGTGTTCGTAGATTTCCTTCGAATTCTTTCGGGAGCCGAGAGGACCAAGGCCATCAAGAGCAGGGGCCATGAGTAAGGCCTGCTGTGCGATGATCCGTGTATATGCACTTGACGTCATTGAAGTGTTGTCTTTCTCGATCAGATCGTGGTCGTTACAATTCCTTGGTATTGGCGTAGTGAATTGTGAGGGGTGAATAGCGTAGGTCTCTGTGAACGGGATGGAGAAATAATCCTGAATCACGAGTTGCCACCAAGTACGCTTGCCAACTTCGATCTCTGTCTGCTCGAGCCAGTCTGACCGAGCCTGCCCTATGGCGATATCAGGGTCGGATTGTATCAGCGTAGGTACCGGGAGTGGTTGGACACGGTGTAGACCGAGACACCTGGCAATGCCATGAGCGGCGCCGAGCAAGTTGCCGGTAACCTGGCTCAGGCCCAGATTATGCCCAAGTCTAGTTATAAGTGTGATTGCCTGAACAGAGAACACTGGCCAAGAAGAATGCGTCGTCAGCCGAGTACAAAAAGCTATCACGAGACGCATGAGGCACGAGCCAACCTACTTGATGGGTGTTGAAGGAAGTCTTCTTCGTATAAAATGTCGGTCAGCTTCCTAAATTGAAGTTCAATGAGGCTGTCATCGAAAACTACATGAGCCAGTCAGCTTGGCTCGGATTTGCGTCGACAGGGAATGCCACGAACTCAACCCAAGCTCTCGGCGTTGACGAGGGCTGTTGACCAGTGACCAGAGTGACGTCTACCATAAACATGAACGTCAGTGATAAGTCCCGGACAAAGAATTTGCTCTACCCACGCATGTAATAGCGAGATACAACGCCATCCATAAAGGATGCACGACAGCACCTGAAGTCCAGAATATCTCGCACTGCTCCAGGAAAGTGTCGGAATGGAAACCATTATGATGCCACCAGAGGTGTTGCATGTGGAAATCTTTGACCAGTCGTCGAGCATCATTGTTCGGAAGCAAGATCTTCGGGTCTATATTCGCTGAAGACCATTGCAAGTATACGTCCCGAGTGTCGCAATTCACAGAGGCAAGCTCGGCGTAAGATCGATATCTCATACAATTGCATCGACGATGGGGGTAGCAAGGTCCGGTGAAACGGCCCCAAGCCAGAGACTCGAGACACCTCAATGTAGCTGCACTTTGACTGGACAGCGTGCCCTCATGGCGCCGTACCGTTGTCGGCTCTGCGTTTTCGGATGATGAGCAACCACGGGTGCATTTCGATTTATTCGTGACAGAAGGCGGAGTCCCCAGTGACGGACTTCCACTCGCGATGGCTTCGCCTGGTAATGGGACAGCGTCGTATTGCGTTGTGGCAATGATCAAGCCAGCAGATGCCATCGGGAGGCCACTCTCAAGCTTGTCAATACGCCGCTGAACCTGTTGTCCCATCACTTCGAGGTCGCTCGCATCTGTGAGACCTTGCTTCAGACTGGCCAAGAACTGGAGCTCGTCTTCGTGCCTAGAGACGATTTTCGTGGTGCGAACGACCTCGCGAGCACATGGTTTTCGGAGGCGAACGCATCGTCCGCAAGGGACAGTCTTGTCGCACCGGACTTTCCTCCTCGAACATTCTGGCCGTAAATAAGCTGGTGTGACACCGAGTCGGGCACTGCACCTCGGCTACGAACCTGCGCATGATAGGGGTCGACGCTGAGAAACCCGTGGACTCGGCATCGGCTACGATCACTCTCAATGCAGATTCGCGAGGTAAAATTGATAAATTGGGAGGTCCATGAATTGGCGATGTGAAGTCCCAGGATTCGCACACGTGCCACCAATTGTAGCGGCTTATCTTGGATTGCGCGATATGGAAGTCTTATCACGCCATCCCCTGGCCATTGTCGGAGTCGACAATTATGACTTGACTACAGATATCCAGGCCATGTACCACAGCCACAGTATATTATTTTGCTGGGTTGGTGGTTTTTGCAATCCTAGGCCTCAATCGGCACACTTATGAGGCCAGTGCAGGAACCAATAAGTCTTGTATGAGCAATAAGAGGGTAGATTGGGCTCCCGTCCCCCAAAACATATCGAACCCGACCTACAGCCTGGCTTTCATCCATGCACAACCCCGAGGGATCTTTTTCGTTTTATGGTTGCGTCTGCCATACATTGAAAGCATTCTCCTCACTCAGAAACATGTTCCAGTCTATATCCGCAAGTTGCTCATCGCACCAGCCTGGTAACTCCCAGGCCCCTTCCGGACTGGTTGATGGGTGAACTTGATTCTCGACCGTCACCGTGACAGCCTGAAAGAGGGTAGCCACCATGTGGGCTGCTCGATCCGATCCCCTCATCCACGGCTTCATGTCGTTGAATATGTCCAAAGCCTTTGTCAGGCTTGCAGACCATCGGTCCATCTTTTCGGGGAACAAGCCCGGCCTCCATGCCGTCTCCATGGCGATCGAAAGAAGTGGTACCATACAGGCCTGGAAAAGGTACCACGCAGAGTTCCACACATGAATGTGGTTGGGGGTCCAGTGCAGTGTAATGGCATCAATGGCCTCAGCCGCGATTAAGCGGCATGTGTCGGTCATTTGTTCCTCCTCGGGTGCGAACATGCGTTGTTTAGCGTTGTCGTGAGCCATATACAGCAAAAATGGACGGGACAGTACCAGCCGTACATTGAGATACCGATTTCTCAGGAATTCGCGCGCGGTGGTGACGCGTGGCGGCGAATTAGCAGTGTATTTGACAACTGATGGCAGTGTCTCGTACCAGTCCCGAAGCTCTTGGTCGAAAGCAAGAGCTTCAATGGCAGACATCCTTCGTAGTTGCGCAAATCTATGCTGAATGCGGTTGCAAATGTGGCAGAACTGACAGCTCGACCTTAAAGAGATGGCACAATGATCATCAGGTGAAAGGAGGCTTGGGGGCAGGGTATCCATTGTCGCATTATCCCATCGTCCACAGGTTGGGCGACCAAGAGTCATGCTGGCCCAAGTGTCAAGACAGAATAGACTCCACCATGTCCGCCGCCGCGTTTCAATTCGAAGGAGATTTTCTTGATTTGTGTCGGCTCCTTGATCATGAGTACGGCGCGACGAGTCTCGGTGTAAGCCTAGGGCAATGGCGACGCGCTGAGCAGCACCAAGCACAGCATATGCCATGTTTGGGGAATTCCGATAATGCAGGTAGTAGCCTCCCAGTAAGCACAGAGCTTGGAGACTTTCCATGTTTCCCGATCCGAGAGAGTCCAGGTCGAGGAAAACCCTCGCTTGTTTGTAGTATTGCACGTGCAATGTGTTACTGCCAGAGGCAATGGACCCAAGCGTCAGAATCATGTTGAGAAGTCCCAACCATGAAGCATCTTGCCGGGTGCCCCCTATGTATGTTCTTCGAAACTCTTCTTCATTCAAAATGGGTGTAATGGCGTGTATGTGTTCGAAATAGAACTCGACGCAGCGCTGTTCTCGAAGCTGGTTGAGGGCCGGTAAGTTGGGTCCCGAAATCAGGTCTGAAGCTTGCTGGTGAGGCGGATGCTGTTCATTTGCCAATTCTTTCGAGAATTCTATCGTACGAGCTTTAGCCGCTGGGCACAGTCGGAATAAAGCCCCCATAACAGCACTCATTGAAGTGACGCCTAAATATGAGGGGCGGTGCTGATGTGTAGCCAGACTGATGGCATTGATGTCATCGCTAGCGCCGATTTCTGCAGGCTGCTGAGCTGATTCGTCCCATCTTCTCTCTTGAACAGCATCGCCAGCCTCGGATGCTTGAGTTGAACCATCAGACACGTCTGTGCCACCTGTGCCTGATAAAAAGTATTGAGGTGAAGGCCTCAATGGCTCAGGCGAAATATCGCAAACCGAAGTATCGGATGGCGAACCAGTCGACAAGAGCTGAAGAAGTTCTGTTCTTGATCTTCCAACCAGATCCTCGGGTGAATTATGCGGGAACAGTGTATTGAGAATGCGTTTTTGTACCTGCATTTGCTCGGTCACCTGTTCCAATGTACTGAATGCCCTGTTAACGATCCAGAGTTAACAAGGGATGGACATCCAGGAAATTCACACCTCTTGCTGACAGCTTGTCTCTTGGTCCGTTGCCTGTAGACGCAACTCTCCGAAGTTTTGTAGTACTGGCAACTAGTACAGGGAACACGGCCATCACACTTGACCTTTCTCCGTGTACACTCCGAACATGACTTGTTAACTCTGCGGGAGATCGGTCTTGCGAACTGTGGCGATAAATGTGAAGCCGGTGGGTCCGTGCTACCGAAGGTGTGAAACATCGTACATGCAAACAGGAGGCTATTATTAACCTTACAAGACTGAAGTGTATGTTTGTTGGAGGTCGATGAGATCGAGGAGGAGCGAAAACATCAGGCTATAAGGCACTCTTGTGGGCCATGGCAGGGCTGCGGGGTAGAATACGGCACCGTATTAGCGTGGCTTTAGCATGCCCAACGCTGAAGTGTAGGGAAGCTCTAGGTCCATCGCACGTTGCCAGCGCCAAATGTCCTCGTTCTTGAATGTTCCTCGGAGTATGTTCAATATCTACAGCTTAGGTCTATATGTGCTTGTTTCATCCGGCGCCCCAAGGTAAGTCCACCTCAGAGGAGCTGTCGTCGGCCCCGCCTCAATCTGTATCTCCCGCTTCTCGCCAGGCACAAGGTCGAAGCCATTGTCGCTCAACTTCATGCCTTCTGTCTCCTCAAGCACAAAGCCTTTGATTGGAAGTCTGCTGGCAATTGAGATCTCGCCGCCCGACTGGTAGATCTCGAGGCCGACGTGCCGGTCGTTCAGGTCAAGATACTTGAAAGGCTCCGGCCAAGCAGTGTCGGTGGCCACAAGTTCCCCGTTAAAAGTTAACGAGGCATGAATTACAAAGGGGTCATCAGCAGTATTCGCTGCATATGCTGCAACAGCCACGCGCTGCTTCTTGTGAACCTCTGTCGTCCCATTCGGCTGAGCATAGAGGGCACTGGCGATGGCGTCGCGTATGTCCTTGCCTGTCTGGATGGAGATGAATCTGACCCTCAACTCGACCCGAACTGTATCAAGTCGACTGCTCGCGATCCAGACGTCATACTCACACTCCTTTCGTAATGTGGGGTCCGCGTGTCCTGATGTCCATTCTAGGCAGCTCCTGGATATACCCACATCCAGCGGTCGCAGTGCTCTCGCGATGGCGTAAAACGCTGGTTTCTTTACCAGGTAGTAGTCCACTACAGCCCAGGACATAGTTGGCCAGCAGTCATTCAGTTGCCACACAAGAACGCCACCGCATTTTCGTGCTCCGGGATGCCCCCACATTCGTCTCCATGCCTTGTACGCGTAGCGCATGGTTTCGGCTTGTGTGATCTGTGTGAGATGGGTGAACGCTGGCAAGTCATAGCGAACCTGGAAGTTTTCCGCGACGTATGTCATCAGGCGGCGTTCGTGGTCAATGGCTTTGTTCCGATAATCCATCGTCAGAGACCCAGGCCGCTGTTCCCGAGAGCTCGTGACCATTCTTCGAGTGGTCTGTAGATGAGGATACGCTTCCATACCAAACTCACTGACGAAGCGGCCAGTCAAGTGTTCCGCCTCCTGATACCTATTCATCAAACCATGCCATACTTGATTTTGTCAGCAGTCGTAAAACGTGTATGTTTGAGGTAGACTTACTGTTCCATTGATGGATGTCTCCCACCGTTGGGTCAGTCGTATGTTTTCCGTCTCCCCAGGGACTGCCAGGATGATACAAAACTGAGGAGTCTTCCTCTTGAACCAGCTTCGGCAGCAGGAACTCGTAGATATACCTTGCAGGGAAAGTAGACTTAAGCCAAGATTCGGGATCCTTATCATCGGCAAAGTACTCCAACTTGTATCTCTCTTGCACCTGGTAGTCTTCGTTGTTTCCGGCCCAAACAACCACAGAAGGGTGAGATCTAAAGCGTCTCAAGTTCTGCCGCGCCTCCTCTTCTATGCTTTCTAGAAATGCAGCATAAACTGGGTAGTTGCCGCATGCGAAGGCAAAGTCCTGCCAGACTAGAATCCCAAGTTCATCGCAGGCGTCCAGAAAAGCGTTGTCTTCGTAAATGCCGCCTCCCCACACCCTGATCATGATTTGGTTACTTTCAACCATGAGTTTCATCCAATCGTGGTATCGTTTCGCAGTCATTTGCGAGAGAAAGCTATCGCCAGGAATCCAGCAAGATCCACCAGCGAAGATGTCGACTCCGTTAATCCGAAAGTAGAATGACTTGCCGTAGGCGTCTTTCTCTTGAACGAGCTCGCAGCAACGAAATCCGATGAGCTTGGTACTGCTGTCGAGTTTTGTCTGGCCTCTCCAAACCTCTAGTGATAGTTGATACCGTGACTGTGCTCCATATGCTGCAGGGTACCAGAGACAGGGATCTTCTATCTGAAAAGCAGCTTCAACCAACCCGCCTGCGCCAACGCTACAAGTCTGCTTGAACACCACCTTGTCATTGCGGGACAGGAGAAAGACCACGTGGTCAGTCTTTTCAAACGCACCAGAAACCCGAGCCATGAGTCGCCCAGAGCAGCTTTTTAAGTCTGCCGCCAAGTCGTAGACGGCCCGCACGTCATCAAGCCTTGCCGTATATTGTTCGAAATAGACAGGGCGCCACGGTCCTGCCGTCATCAAGATTGGGCCCCAATCCCAGCCCCAGTTGTACTGTGCCTTGCGAACAGGGATTCTGCCTTCCTCCGTTTGCCGGGCGAAGAATTGGTGCTCTCCGTGCTGCTTGACGATGTCACGACCACGGAGCAAAGCTGAGTCGAAAACTATTTCAAGGACGTTCTCGCTATCGGAGTTCCAAGTCATGTTGACATTGACACGGTTGGAAATGTGCATGTTTTCTGACTTCAGGATCTCAACGCCGTTCAGAGTGACTGTGGCGAAAGTATCTAGACCTTCAAAAACGAGGTCGGTACTGGTGTTTTCTGGGCAGTGGATGGCTGGTGCCGGGAGGCGAAGCTTGTATTGCCACGACTTTTCGGCAACCCACTGAACAGATTGTTCATTCATGTCCATGAAAGGATCAGGGATCCTGGCAATAATCAATATCGCTTCATTCACTGAGCCGAGATCATGGGATCATACCTCTTGTTGGCGAGCAAGTCGATATGGACCTGACTCGGAAGAGTCTCGACTGGAAGCCAGGCACCGGGGTCGTCATCATCGTGCTGTTTGAAGGACCACCCACTACGCAAGTTCTGTCTGGAGCGAAGCATGCTTGGTGATGATGTAGGGCGGCGAAACATGGAATGTCACTGGATAAGGAAGCGAACAATAAGAATCTGACAGCACATGTGTCCGCAGACCATAAAAGAAAATCATTCGGCTTTATGGCCATCGCTCCAACCGGCGGAGTCTCTCTGCCAGGCAGTAAATGCAAGTGACGTTCATTCTACACAGCTGTATTACCGAAACGGGGAGACGTGGGGGACGTCGGGGAATTGAGGGCCCGGTCACGCCATGCCCAGAACGGCATGCGGAAATCCATAATGCCGTGGTACCCCTGTCAGCCTGGACACGGAGGGGTGGATGTTTGCACTCGCATCAGCCACGAACCCTTGAACACCACTCGACAAATTCTCGAGGAAGATCGCCTGAGTTCTCTTCGTCCGTGTAATTTGAGAAGGATATTGAAACGGCGGGCAACAGTACAATGGACAAGGTTCTACGGCTGTCAGAAAGCACGTCGCTTGCAGCCCCCCCTTTGACACGATCACATATCTGACACCATATAGTACGACATCACGATGTTGCGGGGGATTGCTGGATAGCCATACATGGTAAAGTCTACGATGTAAGTGAAAGGTCGCCCGTGAAGACTGTACTGATCATACTGCCATGATGATGTGTTGCATACATCTGTCTGCGACTCACGATTGTTGACCATCATCACTAGATCACAAACCTCTTAGAAAGCCATCCTGGAGGAAAGGCAGTTCTTCTCCGGTATGCTGGAGCTGACGCCTCTGTCCCATTCGATGAAGTTCACCCGAGAGAACTCCTTGACGAATATCAAGGCCTGATTAGCGTTATTGGTACATTCGATACAGAGGGGTCATCGAGCGCAGGTTTTACCACCATGACACCAAACAGAAGCTCAACTGCGTCCTCGCCGTCAGCCACAGTATCAATTCCAACGAGCAATATGCTCAGCATCTCGGAAATGGAAAGGCTGGCGCTGCAGCATCTGACCCCGAAAGCCATCTCCTATTATGCATCTGGCTCCGATGACGAGCTCACAAAGACTGCCAACAATTCAATATATCGCTCCATCATCCTGCGGCCAAGGGTCTTCGTCGACTGTACAGCTTGCTCACTTTCGACAAATATACTTGGAAACAGTGTAGGTTTACCAATCTTCATTTCGCCAGCAGCCATGGCCAAATTGGCACATCCTTCGGGGGAAGCAGGAATCGCCTCTGCGTGTTCCAACTTCAATGCGCTCCAAATCATCAGCAAAAACGCCTCCATGTCACCCCTAGACATCGTCCGCGCCGGCAAAGATGCGGTGTTTGGGTGGCAGCTCTACGTCTTGAAGGACATCAAAGCAACCGAGCGAACCCTTGCTCAAATCCGGGCCATTCCCGAAATCAAATTCATTGTTCTGACTTTGGACGCCCCTTTCCCTGGAAAACGTGAAGCAGACGAGCGCTTCAAGATGGCCGAAGTCGCTCAGGGTGGTGCACCGCAGGTATGGGGAACAGAATCCGGGCTGACCTGGGGCAAAACCCTGGCTTGGCTGTCAACGCAAACCAAGTTGCCGATTGTGCTCAAAGGCATTCAGTCTTACGAAGACGCCTTTGCCGCATCATTGTTTCCAGCTGTCAAAGGCATCATAATCTCGAACCATGGTGGGAGGGCTTTGGATACCGCACCAACTCCCATCCAGGTCTTGTTGGAAATCAGAAAGTTCTGCCCTCAAGTATTGAGCAAAATTGATGTTCTTGTGGACGGAGGTATCAAGAGGGGGACAGACGTGGTCAAGGCACTTGCATTGGGGGCAAAGGGAGTCGGCCTTGGTCGGGCAGCCTTGTATGGCCTCGCTTTAGGAGGACAGGAAGGTGTCGAAAGAACGCTGAAGAGTAAGTCACGTCGCTGTGCTATTCCGCTGTTTTCTGACTTGGGATCAGTTCTAGCAGACGAAACACTCACGGCTCTGAGACTTTTGGGTGTGAGCAAGATCCAGGACCTTGGCCCACATCACGTAAGTTCATGCAACCCGAGCCTGCCCTTGTTTGTGGCCACATACGCTGAAATCGATGATCAAAGGTCAACACAGCTGCTCTCAACCAGTACCTGTTCGAAGGGCCGAGTGACTTAGATCAAATGGAGATTGATTTGAGGCCTAAACTGTGATAGCTTGTCGTGAGAAGTATTTTTAGGAATAAGAGGGCGCCTCAGTGCGGGCAATATTGTTGGACGGGGTCAAGTGCGGAAGAAAGGTGATGTATTGTACCTAGCTATTCTACAGGGCATGTACCTGGAATCAAGCTATAGGAGGCATTGGGCGCACAGGCCTTGGCACCAGGTGGATTTCACCACGAACAAATCAAACTACTTGGTCAAGAAATCGTCACTTGTTCTCGTTACATGAAAAGAAAGATGCTGAAGGTATTACAATGGGCACAAACCAGACCAGGACACCGCTGGTGCAGCCTCAATACCCTGGGTTTCTCCGGCATCTCCAGTGCGCGTTCTAAATTCACAAGGACCAATGGCTTCGATGCTGATCTTTCGATCTCCTAGTCAGCAAGACGACTCGCGGGTCGTCGTTGGATGCATGGACGAGCTTTTGAATTTCCGTGTCCATATCTGGTCTAGTTCTGAAGCAAAAATCCGGGGCCCCGTGTCCACGCTGCGCTGGTGAGAGTAAGACCCACGAACGAGTGTGGGGAGTGGGATGATCGCTTCAGTGCAACTCAGACCGTCCGCCAGTTATATAGCGACTCAGTGCCTCCAAGACCCAAGGGAATCTCAGCACGCCAATCTTCTCCATATCGCATCTTGACCTTGCAATCTTTATTTTCAGAGTCGATCCGTCTGTTGCAATACTTTTCCCTAGCTCAAGTGACACTAGCGAAGTCAAGATGAACAAGTCAGGGGCAAATGTCACACACAAAGACCCCGATGTCGGGGAGAGTTTCGCGGAGAGGTACGCAACGATCATGGCGACACAGAAACCGAATCCTCGCGGCCCAGGATATATCAAATTATACATTTTGGCCGCCATGGTGTTCTTGTGCTCAACAATGAACGGTAAGGCTTCGTCTTTAAGGCTGCCGCCCACAGATCCCCGGTATACTACTTACTAGATCTGTAGGATTCGACAGTTCACTGATGGGGTCTATCAATGCCTTGCCAAACTTTACAGAGTACTTCGGACTACCAGCCTCAGGAAACGCCAGCACGGGTATTGTGTTCGCCATTTTCCAAGTACGCCATCATGTTGTGTAAATTCATATATCATGCTGATCTCCGTTCTAGGTCGGACAAATGTGTGGAGCTCTATTCATCTGGATGACAGATTGGTACGGACGCACATGGCACATTTTCTTCGGCTGTCTAGGCGTCTGCATCGGCACCATCATCACCTCGCTTGCTACCAGCCTTCCTATGCTGATCGGTGGACGGTTCATGCTCTCCTTCTTCGCTACCTGCGCACATACTGCTGCTCCTCTTTACCTCGTGGAGATAGCCCCGGCTGCCTATCGAGGGACAATCGCAGGCATGTACAACACATTCTATAACGTGGTAAGTACCCGTATGGGGAGAGGGCTTGTCGTCTTCGATGCTGACACATGCCTTTTCTGTCACTTACAGGGTGCGATACTTGCCAATTCCGCAGTCTATGCATGTCATCTCTACCTTGGCCATCGAGGAGACCTTGACTGGAGGATCCCCCTCTGGCTACAAATGGTATGCCCAGGCCTCGTCTGCTGCCTGATCAAGTTCTACCCTGAGTCTCCACGATGGTGTGTATCACCTGAGCCTTGCGTGAGTCTTTCTCATTGACTAATGTGGTATGTTAGGCTTGTGGCACAAGATCGTCACGAAGAGGCAAAAAATATCATCGCAACGTATCATGCCAATGGTGACCTTGATCACCCTCTCGTAGACCTCCAGATGGCGGAGATGATCGGTGCGATTGACGCGGACCATGAGGCGTCATGGAAGGACTTGTTTGACCTCAGGGTGCTGTTCGAGTCTCGTGCAAGCCGATACAGGATCATGTTGAACATTGTCTTTTCCTGGTTTGGTCAGTTCAGTGGTAACAAGTAAGTGCCATCCATTGCGCTGTCCACTTAGCAATTGCTGATTATCATCTCCTAGCATCATATCATACTACCTGCCCATCATGCTCAACGGCATTGGCATCACAGACACTAACACGAAGCTGATCCTCAACATTGCCTACTCGATTGTCGGGTGGGTGTTCTCGGCAGCGGGAGCCCGCCTGCACGACATTGTCGGTCGTCGAAAGATGCTCATGGGGACCGCGGCCGGAATGACCGTCTCTCTGGCCATTGTCGCCGGGTGCGCAGCTGCATACGAGGATCACGGCATTCAGAATGCCTCCACCGTCACAATCGTCTTCATCTTCCTCTTCGGCGCCACTTTCGCCGTCGGCTTCACCCCGATGCAACCCATCTACCCAGCCGAAGTCGTCAGCAACAAAATGCGCGCGAAGGCCATGGGTACCTTCAAGCTCACAGCGGGAGCTGCCGGTTTCCTCAACACCTTTGTCGGGCCCATTGCGCTCTCCAGTGTGAGTTTCTCTGCCCTAGATGCTGTTGTTACATGAGCACTGATCGCAGGCGGCAGATTGGGTACTGGTTCTACGTATTCTTTGCGTTCTGGGATAGTTTTGAAGTCGGGTTCATGTACTTCTTCTTCGTGGAGACCAAGGGGTCTACGCTGGAGGAGCTGGATGAGATCTTTGAAGCGGAGAACCCGCGCAAGGCCAGCGTTGAAGCTGCGAACGCACGCAGGAGGATGATTCGGGAGCAAAGAGATTCGGCTGCTTAGCGGCCATGGTCACCCTAAGACTACAGCTTCTGGCGCGGGTATTCTTATTGGAGGGAGCTTGCTGTCGTGGCAGAGCAGGGGTAACGATGGTGCTTGGGGGGTCGAGTTCTTCTGAAGTGAAGCTGCCCCTGATGTGCACCAAGTTAGTCTGCTCCAATGCAGCAGCTTTTACGAATTGTTTAGTGTACAATGTCCATCACAAGAGCGTCCTTTACACAAAGGCGACAATCGCAGCTTCAGAGGGTACGTACGAGCTGACTGGCCTGTATCCTTGCCAGCCAATTCCATGTGACAGGTGCTTCAGGCACGCTGAAGGACCGGCCGGCGTCTAGCGTCTAGCGCCTGACGTATGCCTGAGCTCGTACCCCTGGAGCGGCCCCGCTGTGGCTTGCGCGGACCTCTGCCGTGGCCCCCAGTGGTCGAGCCGATGGCTGGACGTCACACCACGCTCGGGGTCAACGCAAGCAGAGCTCACCAGGCTCCAGGCTCCAGGCTCCAGGTTCCAGACTCTTTTCGAAAAAACAACAACCCTCGAAGCTGCATCTTCCTTTTCAAGCACTTTTCTGGTGCGTTTCGATCGCTACAAATCTACTCACACAGTAGGCGAATTGCGCGGGCGCTTAGATCGCGATGAGTCGCAATTAATCATGCGTACATTCCAATTACTGCTCCTCTCTGCAGGCCTCAGCTCTGTTTCAACGACATCAGCGCAATATGCACCCACGACAGCAAACCTTACCACCGTGCGATCACCTCTCAACCATGATATCACCATCAGCTACAAGTCTCCCGACGGCGCCTGTCGCTCCGCATTCGACCACCAGAAACAATATACCGGCTGGGTCAACGTGCCCGGCGACTACCCTACGAATCTCTTCTTCTGGTTTGTCGAGGCCCGCCAAAAGTCCGACGTACTCACGATATGGCTCAACGGCGGGCCTGGGTCGAGCTCTCTCTTCGGCATGTTCAACGGGGTCGGTCCTTGCCAGATCATCGAAGCGGGGCTGGACCAGTACGACACGCTCGCCAGTGAATGGGGCTGGGATCGTGCTTCCAACATGCTTTTCATAGACCAGGTGAGCCAGCCACTGAGACATCTTCAGCACGTGAAGAATGTCTACTAACCCACCCCAGCCCAACCAGGTCGGCTTCTCCTACGACACACCAACAAATGGCACTCTCAATATCCTCAACAACACCCGCACAACCCCGCCAGGGAGTCCCATCGACGACCTACCACCCCACCTCTTTCTGAACGGCACCTTCAGCTCTCTGAACCCCGCCAATACCCCTAATACCACCGAAGATGCTGCCATGGCCGTCTGGCACATGCTGCAGGGCTTTCTCTCCGTGTTTCCTCAGTACAATCCTCCCAAACAAGCGGCACTGGGTATCAATCTCTTCGCCGAAAGCTATGGCGGCAAATATGGCCCCGTCTTCTCAGACGTGTGGGAGCGGCAGAACGCCAAGAGGCTGAACAATACCATACCGCGGAACTCGACCCTCGAGATACATCTCGCTGCATTGGGCATCGTCAATGGCTGCATTGACGACGAGATCCAGGCACCCTACTATCCGAGCTTCGCAGTCAACAACACATATGGGTTCGAGGGCATCAACTCGGTCCGCGCCAACCTCGCCAATGCCAGCTTTTACGCCGATGGCGGCTGCCGCGACCTTTTACAACAGTGCCGCACCGCCCAAAGCGTCTACGACCCGACGAGCTCAGGCAATGTCGACAGCGTCAATGAGCACTGCTCCCAAGCGTATACGACCTGCTACAGGTCCGTCATTGAGCCCTTCAGCGAGTCTGGGCGCAGCTTCTACGATATTTCCCAGCCGGCGCGCGAGTCCTTCCCCTCCAACATCTACATCGAATACGCCAACACGCCCGCCTTTCAAGAGGCCATCGGTGCTGTGACCAACTTTTCCTCCTACAGCCTCGAGGTCCTTTCGGCCTTCTCGCGCACGGGCGATAACGCGAGGGGCCCCCTCCTGCCGCGGCTCGCCGCGCTCCTCGACTCGGGCGTGCGCGTCGGTCTCGTCTACGGCGACCGCGACTACATCTGCAACTGGCGCGGCGGCGAGGCGACGGCCAACGCGCTGGCCTGGCAGGCCCGGGCGCCCTACGGCCAGCTCTTCACAGAGGCGGGCTACGCGCCCATCATCGTCAACGACTCGTACATTGGCGGCGTCGTCCGCCAGTACGGCAACCTCTCCTTCAGCCGCGTCTACCAGGCCGGCCACGCCGTGCCCGCCTTCCAGCCCGAGACGGCCTTTCAGATCTTTGCGCGCATCGTCATGGGCACGTCCCTCTCCACCGGCGACGCCGTCGACCTGGCCGCGTACGCCACAACGGGCGACGCCAAAGCCGACAAGCACAGGGACAAGCTGCCCGCAGCGCCGGCACCGACATGCTGGCTGCGCGCCGTGCCGAGCACGTGCTCCGACGACGAGGTCGAGATGCTGCGCAAGGACGAGGGCGTCATCATCAATGGCGTGCTGTACGCGAGCGAGGGTGACTGGCCGCTCGCGACACGGACGACGGCGAGCAGCGTCGAGGCGGGGGCCGCGACGTCGGCGACGCAGACGCTGACGGGCTTGTTCACGGCCACGTCGACACCCCGCAATGGGGACGTTGCGAGCCGCGACCCGAGGGGGAGTGTGATGGCCATGGTCGTTGCAGTTTCTTGTACGCTGTTCTGGATAGGGACGATGTAATATGCCTACATGAATTGCGGGTAGAACTGGCGTTCGGGGCGGGATTGAGAGGCGCTTCGGCACATACGCACGCGATTGATTTGGTTGTTCGATACCCTTAAACTCCCTGATATTCATGTGTATTTCAAGACGAAGGATACTATGGAAAAAGCACATGGTCACATAAGGCGTACAAAATTTGGCAAGAATATTCAATTGGTATTACTTCGTATTGATACAAGTAAGAGTAAACTATTCATAGTGATATCACATGATGAAGCAAACGAGTAGACCTATTTTTGAGAACAGTCAGCAACTTTTTCCAATCCGTGTAATCGAGATCGAAAAAAATAGTTGAGGAAAGCCGATTTCAGTATGGGTGCCGTGTCAAAGGCAGTCTCATCAATGCAACTAAGGCTATGGAGACCGTCGTGATAAAAATTGAGTCATCATGTAAGGGGCTGGGAAGGAAGGAGCAAAGAAAACACAGGCAACGAACCTGATGAATTGCCGACGCACGCAGATTGCTGCATGTTAGAGTCGAGGTTTGCCAGCCTACCAGATCTTCTCGAGTCAGTCGTGTTCTCCCATGTGTGGAGCAGAAGACTGATGACTGAAGCGGTCGGGATCAGGAAAATGTAAACAGGTATCGATCAAACGCCGTGTCACGGGCTCTGACATATGCTTGTCTTGTGTTTTTGCGTTCATCACTTGAACGGGGCTGGGGTGCTGAGGCAAGGCGCTGTGTGACATACCAAGTCATGAAAAAGGGCCATGTTGGCTGGAGGATCTTTAGTGCTGGTTAGCGAGATTCTTCTCGAGCTTGAAGAAAGTTTTTGAGAAATCGCAGTTCAGTAAGGCATGAATGGTATAAAAATAGGTTGTCCGCATCGGTAAAACCGTGTAGGACTCGTCATCTGTGTTCATCAGGAAGCGAGGGGTTTGGAAAGAAAGAAAAAATTGGCTTACCATTAGTGAGCAGTCACCGTGTGACGCGCATTGAAGCGCAACACGTCACAAGGGAAGCGATCTGAAGACCCTGACACTGTTCCTTGTCAGTCCAGATTCGCATTGATTCGACGAAAAGTTTTGCCGGATCGACATGAAATCAGTGGGCGAGGTTTTCTAGGCCTGCCGCAAAGAGGCGTGTCGCTCATGGTCGAGCCCATTAGGTACTCTCGGAGCCCAGTGCCGCTTCATCATATTGGTGCTGGGTGGAAAGGAGCAAGCGGGATCGGTGTGTACCTTGTCTAGGAATCTGGTTGAGCGAGTTAGCATCTTGCAGGTGCAGAAGCATGATATCAAGCCAGCCAGAATGGTACGAACGATCAGAAACAGCCGTTTTTTTCTTCAAGGTGTACTCAGTCGGTAATTCCAACATACGTAGTATGATAAATGTTCATCACATTGTTCGAGGGGGGGGCTGGCAACAGCAAGAATGAATGGGGTAAATGCTAACCTTTGTAAACAGTGCTCGAGGTCGCAGGTCAAGGCACTAGCCCAACCAGCGACCGTCAAGCGAACCACACAACAGCCATAGCATATGCAATGCAAGTAAACACCTGTGATGCGGGTTAGCGTCAGGTCTTGGTCGCGCATGCTGAGTAACAGAAAATTGAGCTGCAATGTCAGACTGACGTGCAAAAACTGTAGTTTCATTCCATTTGGTCAAAGACTCTAGTTTGAATTGGGTTTGGGTAATCATCAGATAGCAGATGAATGAGGAAGAGAAGACACGCACCCGCTCCGTGAAGCGACGCGCGAGCCGAGAAAGGCTGAGACTTACAATTGCAGGCAAGGCTGTTGTTGTTGTGGTGGTTGTTGGTGGTGGTGGAAGGATGGGAAGAAAGTGAAGGGAATTTTCTGCGCCCAACTTTTTGAGGTCTGCGATTCGAATTTGAGGTGGGGGCACTGGAACATCTCCGGGCCATTGGTGCACGGGCCATGAACGGGAGCAAAGAGCTTGGACCAGCTGCAGACATGTGGTCGGTGACGAGAGGGTCCCGTGACCACGCGTTTGGCTCGTTGCTGCCTGTCGTCATTATCCCAGCCCCAGGGCGCGTCGTGACTGTGGCTCCCCCTCTGGCGGTCTCTCATGCCACTGTCTCTTTCACGAGCCTCAAGATGCCCGAAATAGCTGAAGGTGCGCCGTGGCCACGAGTGTGTTTAATGAGGCTTGCACTGACACAGGACAGTCGCGCGGTGTGTGCATTTCCTCCGCCACCATCTTGTTGGCAAGACCATCGCCAAAGCTACGGCCCCTGAAGATGACAAAGTCTTCGGCAAGGTTGGCACCAGTGGGCCAGCCTTCGAAAAGGCCGTCCAGGGAAGAAAAGTCATGTCAGCCGGAAGTCAGGGCAAATATTTCTGGTATTCTCGCCACGGCCATAACTGCTACCCAGCCTCTCATCTGACCTTATCAGGTTGACCTTTGACCAACCTCCGCACGCTGTGATGCACCTTGGCATGACAGGTACGTGAACACGAGCCTTTATTGCGGGGCAGCACTTACAGTATCCAGGCTGGGTCCACATCAAGGGTGACAAGACAGCCTACACAAATTACTACAAGAAGATGAAACCAGAGGAAGCAGACCTCTGGCCGCCAAAGTACTGGAAATTCCGCCTCGAGACCGAGGGCACCCCCAAGGTCGAAGTCGCCTTTACCGACCCCCGTCGCTTCGGCCGCGTGCGCCTCGTCGACTGTCCCGGGGACGACATCCGCAAGCACACGCCCCTCGTGGAGAACGGCCCCGATCCCGTCGTCGACGCCGCCATCTTCACAGAAGAGTACATGCGCTCCAAGATGACGTCGCGGCACGTTCCCATCAAAGCCCTGCTGCTGGACCAGACGCACATCAGCGGCATCGGGAACTGGGTGGCGGACGAGGTGCTGTACCAGGCCAAGGTGCACCCTGAGCAGTACTGCGACGACTTTAGCGACCGCGAGATCAAGACCATCTACGAGAAGGTGCGGTACGTGTGTCAGACGGCCGTGGACAAGCTCGGTGATTCGGATGAGTTCCCCGAAGACTGGCTGTTCAAGTATCGATGGGGCAAGGGCGGCAAGGACGCCGTGAGCAAGCTTCCAAATGGCGAGAAGCTGGCTTTCATCACGGTCGGCGGGCGCACGAGCTGCTACGCGCCGAGCAGGCAGAAGAAGACGGGTCGCGTGGTGCCTTCGGCCAAGGAAGAGCCGATAGACGCAAAGCCCACAGCCAAGACGACGACAGCCAAACTCAAGGGCAGTAAGACCGTCCACGAAGTCGAGCCAAGCGACGAGGATGAAAAGCCTCCAGCGAAGAAGCAGCGCGGGGCAAGAGCGGCTTCCAAGGTCAAGGTCGAAGACGACGACGGTGCTGTGAAGACACCACCTCTAAAGAAGCTGAAGAAGACAGCCAAGCCGAGCAAGGCTGCTCCAGCATCGTCAAAGCCAAGGGTGAAACAAGAGACCACGCGGGTCGAGGCATCAACGAATGAAGATGATCTGGGACGAAGGAGATCAGGGCGTATACGGAAACAAACTTGATTTGAACTATGACACAGCGCCAGTCGTTACAATTTAGTTACGCATAATGTAGCAGTTTATGCACCTTGTCACCTTGGATTCGCATTGCCCTGAATGTGCTGTCAAAATACCAAGCTAGGGCTCCGACTCAACCTCGGGCGGGAACGTGCCAAAGAGCGCCATCAAATGCTCCGTCTCCGCCGGTGTGAGCTTTGCCTTGTCCGTCGTGATCTTGCCCAACATTCGGAAATCTGCGGTGTCAGTATTTATTCTCTCGCGCTACTTGACGACTCACAGTCAATATAGTACCCTATTCACATCAGACACACAAGCCTATTCATCTTCACAGAGGAGAAATCTCACCGGGAGTGGCAGTCATGTAGAACTCGGCCCCCTCCGTCACCGAAGGGTTCGAGAACGTGTGCACCGCCCGCGGCGGCACGACCATGAGTTCGCCGGCCTGAAGGTCAGTGTCCCCCTCTGGCGTGGAGAAACGCACCGTGCCTACGTCATTAGCCACCGCTTCGATCACCGTTTGCCCTGCGACGACCTAGAAATGACAATCGCACGTTTTTTGCAAAGTCATGCACGCACGTACTCACCTTTGACGATGAAGAAGAGCTCATCGTGGAACCGATGCCAGTGCATCGGCGGCCCCTGGACCCCGGGCGGGATCTCGAGCGTCGCGCACCCGACGCGCGTGTCTGTGTGCGACCCGTCCTCGTAAATGTAGCCCGTCATGGGTCCGATCTGGACAATCTCGGCCGTGGATTTCCTGTATGCCGTTACGGAAACCGGGCCGCGCAGAGGCATCTTGGTAATCGCAGGTCCTCAGACGCGGGCCCCTGAAAAAGAGTGTTTGTGGGGTGGATCAAAGATAGGGTAGCAGATGAGAGGCGCAACACGAATACATGAGGTACAATTGAGAGAATCAATGATGGGGAAGGCTGCCCGTGTAACAGAGGCTGAAACCAAGACGATGGCTCAGATGTGCGGGACCTGGCTGCCTCTTGTGCTTGGCCTTTGTAGTACGAAGCCCTCTGACATCAGAGCCGGATCTCCATTGGGGATTGCCGCCTTTTCACCTTGCTATCCCAGTCCCCAAAAGAAACACTGCCAAGTCAGCAAACTTCTAGGTGGCTGGCCGATGTCATTTACGCAGACCTACTAAGAGAGTGATGATGGTCCGGAAGATTGCACCTCCAAACGATCGTTACTCATGCCACCAAGCACACACTGTCTGTGTTCATTTGGCTTAGGCGGGTGTGATTCAATTAGCGATAGATGAAGTACCAGGCGGTACTGTTACTTTCTTAAGAGTGTCGGGCCAAGCATCAGGATTCATGTACGCACGCATGTCAGGATCATCGCAGTTCAAATTTCGTGTCCAATAATTCAATAGTCAATAGAAATGTCAGCTCTGTGGCTGTTGCTCCAGACAACTGTCCAGAACCGTGTCAAATTTCATCCACTATAAACAGGAAATGCTGCCTCCAATGAGGACTATGGGTATCTTCTTCTACACCTAATAGTGACCAATGCAAGACCCAAAGAATGAATCACTACGCCGAAATAATGCTTGTTGACCCATCGCTGGCCAGGCTTGTAGGTCTGATAACGATAGGAGGGAAAGTACACGTGTGTCAAGTGGAAAAGAAAAACGCCTGGCTTGTGTTTTTGGGTATCGCTGATGCCTAAAAGCAGATAACTTTGTCGAAAATCATGTCCGATGCTGGCGTATATGTTCATCAAAGGTGGTTGGGGGAGGGCGAAATTGGTTCGTTGTCGTCATGATAGAAGGTGTTGCCCTTGAAAATCTCATCGTTTTCGAATGGTTGGATGTTTCGAATGCCAAGAGATGAACGCCTGTTCACTCGTCGCGCGAAACTTGAAAGCCAACGCTGTATCGATAGTCTTCGCTGTCCCAGGTGACAGGGATCATCGTCAAGATGTTCATGAACGGCGAGCCGTCCTTGCGGAAGTTTTGGACCTCGAGTTGGACCTCGTCGTTCTTCTCCACAGCCTTGCGCATCTGCTTGACCATCCTGTCATCGACGTACTTGCGAGGAGAAGATCGGCTGACCTTTCCGCCGGGTGCTTGCAGGAAACGGCAGTTGCGTCCGAGGATCTCGGCATTGGAGTACCCGGTAAGGAAGGTAAAGGCTTCTGATGCGTAGACGATAGGGCAATCAGGCTGGGCGAGATCGCAGAGGACGAGGGCGACTGAGCAATCGATAGGGCCGAGTTCGACCTTGGGCGAGGACCGACCCATGACACGGAACTGCGAGGTTTGTCAGCCAAACGGACGACTGGAGTAGACAGCGACAGCGCCAAGACATACAAGGATGCTCATCATGTCAAATCCGCTGGGGCAGTAGAGACCGGGATACATGACGGGGTCTGCGTTTTCGGGACGCTGGCGCTGCGTGAGGGTACGTTGTTGATCATCATTGCCGGCTGGCTCGGGGAAATGGTACTTTCGGCTTGTTAGTTGCTGACATTCAAGACGGCAAAGCTCGCCGAGAGAGAGACTAACCTGTAGAGCGCAGGTTTCCCAGGGGTTCATATTGGCGAATCGATCAGGGCGTGCTTTCGGCCTCTGGGCGGACCGCTTCGAGATGGCGTGTGTGTGGCTGCGGGGAATGACTGGAAGTTGCGTTTTGACGAAGGCAGACATGTCGGGAAGCTCGTGAATTTTCAAGCGCGAAGTTGATATGATATACGCTTCGTCGCAGGTGTAGGCTCCCGTTCGGGCCACAGGCGAGGGCGACAAGGGTGCGTGCTGTGTCTGATATGCAGGTGACGAAAGGGGTGCGGGCAGGCGTAAGTCGTTGGGTGCACAGAGCCGGGGTTGTCGGGAGGGGCGGCGCGGTTCGACGGTCCTGATGGATGTCGCCTTGGCCTGCTTGTGTGCTTTATCACTTCACTGACACAGGTGACCGTAGCGTATTTGCAGGTTGGGTGGGCGTTGCTGAACAGGCGTGCGCGTCGTTCTTGGTCAGCGTGTTGATCGGGAAGCGAATCTGCCGAGCGAGCGAGCGAGCGAGAGGGACTGATGAGGAGTCTCTGAAGGGGCGGGTAAAGATCTGGCGGGATGGGAGGTGGGAGCACGGGATTGATAGTTGGGTGGCTCGATGGACAGAAAACTGATGAGACAATGCGATCTGACGCTGACATGGACGTAATGACAGGCCGGGATATTAATGAGGGGCCCAGCAGACAATTGATGCTGGCTGGCCCCAGCCGAGGGATACTTAGTAAAAGGCGATGACACGGCATTTCGTTGGCCTGATCGCGGGACCCAAGAGGTAGGGGTCGCGATCGGGACTTGATCGAAGGCGGTAGACGCCAACACAAAAAGTGGGCTAGGGCCCTGAGGCTAACGAGGGTCCGGCTGGGACTGAGCCGGTGGTCTGCCAGCCGACGGGCTCTCGTTTGCATCGGCGTGTTGGGGTGCGATCAAAGGTCTATCTATGCAAGGCCTCTGGATCTCACTGCCTCTCTACACGGTCAGCGTAAGCTGTCTGCTCCAGGCTGCTCCAGGCTGCTCCAGGCAGAGATCCCATCATTGGGGAAATAGTCATGGCATGGTCGTACACCTTGGTGGCAACAAGACTGTCAGGGCCGCCATCGTCGTCGAACAGAAACGGCGCCAAGAGGGGCCCAGGGGCGGGGCTCTTTTCTCAGAGCAAGCAAGGCGTCGGTCGGTGCGAGGGATCAGAACCGCCGGCGGTCAACCAAGAACAGCAGTACATGGTGGATCGTGAGTCGTCAGTCGCGATCTGTGAGTCGAATGGTGGGGTTGGCAGATGTCGCAGCTTGAATGGGGTCTCAGACCATACATTTTCCCATGTTGCCCAAGTCGTGCCGGACATTGAAAGTCGCATCACGATGCTGATGGAGCTTCGGCCGATGGTAGACAGACGCCTCCGATGGGCGACGAAGTGTCGGTGCGAGAAATGCCTGCATCGATCTTGAGATGTGGTCTAGCCATCGGCATCGGAGGGGGACGTGCCTGTCGACGCTTGTCCGAATGGGGGGAGGTGCGGGGCGACATCGAGCGGGAGAAGGCCAATCGGCATCTGACCACTGGTGGCGCTGCCATCACCCCGACCTGTCAGCCACCTTGTCTTGCTTGTCTCTGTCATTCATCCCTGCCACCATTTCCCATTCTGTCCAGACATCGAGATGCTGCATCTTTCCTATCGTATTCTTGCGCTTGCTGCATCCATTCATGCGTCAGGGGGGGATGTCCGAAAAGGTGAGACGAGGCGCTCAGGAGGGGGGGGGGGGGCTCTGTCTCTGCCACTGCACAGTCGTAGGATCGGTTGGCGAACCGAGCGGCTGAGCTTCCAGCTCCCCGATCTGAAATCTTTTTGTTCGGGGCGATCGCTTGCTACAATGCTGATCGACATGGTTCGCGCCTCGTCATATCGGGAGTCGCCTTGTTTCGTTTCCCTTACCAACTGCTGGCCTATTGTCAAGACGCCAAGTAGCGAATTGACAAGGGCCCCTACAGGCTCGTGAAGTTCTCGACTCCTCAATCTATCAGCTCATTCTGACGACACGGCACATGGCGTGGCATCCAGAGGCGGCCAAAGACAACCAATGGCTGGTGCTGATGTTCAGAGGACGAAGGGAAAGACATGAGACTTCTGGGCGTGGATCACGATGCGACTGAAGTCAGCTTGCCGTTCCGCCTTATCCATGAAGATGCTGGATGTTCATCGCTGGGTGTTCATTGCTGGATTCTCATCAAGATGCTGGATGTGCAGAGGAGCGTCATTGCAGGCCTGTGCCGTAGCATCAATTCTTTAGTCACTGGATATACTTTGCTAGACACCACCAAGAAGCGGTTGCAGGGAAACTGAGAATGGCCTTTTAAATACCAATAAAGGAAGGATTTGATCTCGATGTAGGCGCTGACTCCCAAATCATGCTTCTCCTAAACGGTGCTTTGTTCAGTTGCCAAAAGTGTCGCCAGAAAGAGACACCCTCCCCGGCAGCCTACCTCACATGAAGCAGCCCCGCACGATGATCCCCCACCACACCGATTGACCGAGACGCGTCTCTACCGCGTTTCCTCTTGACTGGCCTTTCCCACCACCACCACCACCACCGCCACCACGCCACCCATCACGATCCTGCGAACAACAGACACATTGCGGCACATCTTGAACCTGCCATTTATCGCAACGCTATGTCCGCCACACGCCGCGCCAGGCCCAGGGCACCCTCCGAAGACCCAAACGACCTGCCGCCCTACGAACCCCTCGAACTCACTCTCTCCGACAACGTAGCCCGCTCCCTCAACGCTCTTGCCACTGGGCGTGACTCCCGCCGATATGAAGAACACATCCGCAAAGCCACGACCCTGCTGGGCCGCAATGTCGCCGCCGCAAACGACCGCCTCGCCGAGCGCCAGGGCGACCTGCAAACGACCCTCGCCAAGCGGGCCGCCCGCGGCGCGGAAAAGACGCCCGCCGATCTCCATCTCGAGGCCTGGATCGCCGAGTTCCAAGCCGAGGTCGCCGCGCTGACGGCCGAGTCGGAAGCCGCCGTGCGCGACCTCGTCGACCGCAAGGCCGCGGCCCAAGACGACAAGGACGCCATCGCCGCGACGGCCGACCACATCCAGTCCTTCCCGACGCGCGCCCAGCGCCTCCGCGACCGCCGCGGCGCCGCCGCTGCCGACATCTCCACCCAGGACGCCCACTTTGACGGCGACGACGACGGCGCCGGGCCCGACCTGGCGCCGCCCGAGGACCCCATCCACGACATCCTGCAGGGCGTGCGCGCGGACAAGGCGCAGGCCTACGCCGCGCTGCCGCCGTACGAGCGCTACGCCCTCAACAACGACTACGCCGCCTTCAAGAAGCTCTGGCACGACGCCACGCTCGGCGACCAGGACGTGCCGCTGCCGGATCCCGCGCGCTGGTTCGACCGCGACGGCAACCCCGTCGCCTCGGCCCGGGGCGGTGCGCGGCGCGGCGCCGACGGCAACGACGGCGACGGCGACGGAGAAGACGAAGATCTCATCATCGAAGGCGAGATCCACAGCTTCATCTGCCCGCTGTCGCTGCAGCCGTTAACGCAGCCGTTCAGCAACAACAAGTGCAGCCACACGTTCCAGAAGGAGAGCATCCAGGCGTGGTTTGCCGAATCGCGGAACCAGGAGAGGACGTGTCCCACGACGGGCTGCAATGTGGTACGTGTTCTTTTCCCTTTTGCTGCGTTTCCCGGCGTCCTCCCTTGGGTTTTTCGGTTGCTCTCACCTGTTGTGCTCGCTATCTGATGCCATCTGTACACCTGCTGGCTACGCCTTAGACCTCCTTGCTACTACAACCTGCGAGCATCGCCTGTCCTTCTCTGGAGGCTTTTCCCAGCCAGCAGTCCGCTAACGTGGGCACTGCAGCAACTCAAACTCAGGGACTTTTACGACGACGATCTCATCCTTCGGAAGATCCTGCGCCAGAAGAAGAGGCTGGCAGCGGAGGCTGCCGCCGCTGAGGAGATAGACGACGAGAGTGATGAAGACGAGGCGCCGAGGCGGCGGTCGCAAGCCGTCAAAAGGGAAAGGCGGGGCAGCGACGACGAAATAGAGGATGATTCTTGAGGGCAGCATGCCAGGATCACGAGAAGTGGATACGAACAGTACATGAAACGACGTAGATTGATACCCAAAAGACGATTATTTGTAAACCTATTCTTCGGCATACAGCGTGACAGTCGCAGTGCGGATCTCATAAGGCTTCATTTAGCTGATCTGCTCAAAAAAATCTATAAACTCCATGCTGCGCTACGCTTGTTCCTCTGCTCGTGACTACGTGTCCTGTCCGTTTCACGACGCGTATTGCATGTCAAACCACCGCCGCCAAGGCCACGCCCGCCCCGATGATCGAGCTCTCCTTTGCCGGGACGAGATCGATGCTCAGGCCTGACTTGCCACTAGCTTCCAGAAGCTCGTTTACAAAAGACTGGCACATGTCACGGTATCCCGGGTAGCTCTCGAGCACACTCCCGTTGAAGGCCACCATCGTGTGCTTGAGGGCGAGTTCTGTGTCCGCCGTGGCAGCTTCCGAGGGCGACAACGTGGGCAGCGTCTCGCGGACGCCGTCGAGACGGAGATCCCAAATGCCGTGGACTGCTGCAGCAAGAATGGCAGCGGAACGGCGGGAAATGAGAGCGGAGATATCGCGGAAGAAGGCGAGATCTGTTGCGGTTGGTGCGTGTGATGAAGGATGGCGCGCTGCAAAGGCCGCAATAGCTGTCTCGAGCGTAGCGTTGTCACTGTGATTGTCAGTATTGTAGATTGATGCCAATAGAGCCAATCAGCTCACCTCTCAGTCATGGACATTGTCTCGGTGCTCAAGGAGTAGGGCTCGGTGAGGTTTTCCGGAACCACCCCGCCGAACACACCAGTTGTCGCGATGGCCTCGAGAAGCACGAATCGAGCAACTTCGCCCAGGTACATGCCGCTGAGCATGTGCTCCAGCGGCTGAAAGTCGGGACGGGGATGCCCTGCTTTGAGGTCGGCATCCCAACGTGTGATTGATAGAATGTCATGTCCAAACATGCCCAGCTCTGTGTTGACAATGACACTCTGCGCCTCCTCAAACCACTCCTGGGGTCGTTCACCAAATTTGGCAGCGCCGATGAGGGGCACAGGAAGATGGGCAGCAATGTTAACGCCGGTGCCGAGAATGAGCCCGAATCTCGTAGCCGGGTGAGTGTAGGCTCGAGAAAGCAATGTAGCATTTCCGTCGTTCAAAATGACGAGCAGCTCTGCCACGAGACCAGAGCGACGACAGGCAGCTTCAATCACGGTACCGAGATCCTGTCCCTGGAGACCATCGGCGGCGCGGAATCCCTTGCCCATACCATGAATGCGACCACTGCGGAGGGACGTTTGTCTACAATTTGTCAGTGACCAGCCCATAAGCTTTCAGGAGGCGAACGAAACATACTCAATAGGGAAACTCCAGGACAATGCCATGGGTAACGCGCCGTCTTTCTCAGCTCGGCGGCCCTCTTCCTCATTCTCCAGTGTTTCGACAATCCTCTCAGCCATCCAGTCGAAAAAGGCCAGACCTTCTAGATCCTTGATCGTCTTGTCGATGCGGAACGATTTCATGCTGACAATCTCAGTCTCCTTGCCCTTGATCTCGTAGTCATGGCCACGCAGCTCCACCAGAGCAACTCGCAATGTAGAGCCGCCAACATCGAGCGCGAGGTATCTTCCCCTCTCCAAGCCGGTAGGAAGCTTGTGGTTGAACGAAGGCAGCATGCATGCCGGGTCGGTCTGTAGTCTAGTCCGAAACTGTGTCTTCAGGGCGTGAGAGAGCTCGAGTAGGCCATCGTCTAACAAGGGCCCAAGGATCAGATCCTCAACCTCTCTGAGGAAGTCTTGTGTGGACCGTCGGAGGCCAGGAGCATAAGGCGCCGAAACCTTGCCGCCCTCATAGATTGATTGGGACGAGGATGAGGAGGAAGTTGAGGACTGCTTGGCGCTGGAAGGGCGATGTGATGATGTGGTCCAGAAGGTGAGCAGGGACTGTATCAAAGACTTGCCGCGCAGAAGCTGCTTGACAATGGCGGCAAGGAAGGATCGGTGGATGGTTGTCATTGCAGAAACGAGCGGCTGCATGACATGGGGCAACCGTGCTATGGTGAGGAAGAGGTTCGATGTAGGGTCAGGTGGGACATGTAAGTGACGAGAGAATGCAGGGTAAATAGGCCAAATAGAGCTCAAGCCATGTCCCCTGTGTTTTGGTGTGACCTTCGTGACGGAGCGAATATGGCATTCGACCCAGGATGGTACCAGCTGGGTGACAATGGCGCCTCGCGCGTCGCAGGGCGACGGGTAGGTGGGACACGGGCTGAGGATCGACAGGGCCGCTGGCGCCAGATGGTATCGCGACGTTTAGGTCGGGTTTCCTCTACCCTTCGACCAACAGCTGTGCGGTGTATGAAACCTGCCGACGGTGGAGGGGCCAGGAGAGTTGAACCGCGTGGTCGCTGTCACTCGCAGTTGTCGAGGTGGCTTCTCGGCAGCAGGGCGAAGGAGGCTCGATGGAGAGACGACGAAAAGGGTAGGGCGGCACAACGCCGACAGATGGATGGACCAATGGGCCGGTGGACTGGAGCCAAAGCGAGTAACAAGTAGCAAGACGACGGCAAGACAGGGCAAGACACGAAGATGAAAGTGGAACACTGGGAAAGGGAGGAAACGGGTCCCTCGAGTTGAGTTGAGTCGAGTCGAAGCTCCCCTGCGTCCGTTCCATCAATCCGTCCGTTCACAACGTCGCACAGGCGATGGGGCGACAGATGGTAAGATGGTAGACTGGTGATCCACTTGGGTCCTCTCACACTCTGGAGGGGAGGGGACGCGATGCGGGTGCCGTTGTGGTGCTTGCAATGCCATGTAAGGCAGTATGCCGAGAGCGCAATAGCAGGGATGGTCCGTCGTTCTCTCGCATCACTGTGTATTCTCGGGCGGCCCACGACCTGGAACTCGAGCGTTCTGGATGGCGCGCATGCCGGAGCCGGAGAAAAGGGCACAGGGTTGGTGGGATCGTCGGCTTCTGGCGAGGCTTGGTGGGAACTGGAGAAGCTGAGGATGGCGTTGCGAGGTGGAAACAGACGTCGTTGGGCGCCGGTCCTTATGGGTTGTAACGTTGCTTGTGCCCTCAGTGGGCTCCTGCCTGTAAATGTTAGCCTTGACCGATAAGCCTGGTGCCGTCGGATAATCGCCGGGCCCCACCCAGATCTGACTCCAAGCCTCCAAGATCGACGGTGCAATGTTCCCTCTCTCGACTCCGTGCCTCATCCACCCAACCCACATGGCCACGACCAGAGGCTACGAGCGCCATCCTTGTTCATCCGGGCGCTCGTTGCATCTGAGGCGTTCGTCGAGGCAGGCATCAAACCAAGGGTCCAGGCCCACTCTATTGTTTGTACCACACATGCTTCGACTGCAATCCTGACATTGTGCAGCCAACCTGCGTCAGCATACGCTCTGAAGAACCTTGACCTGTGGGAAGTTACGCTACGCATGCATCGGTGTATCAAGAAGATTGATTGGCCAGCGGACAACAAAAACATCAAGACTTCGGCATCTTCGCGATCGTGAAGGTTGATGGTTGTCGAGGCTCGCCTGGTCATCAAACCGTAGCACACACCACCAGCTGAGGCGCTCCGTATCAGTCGTCGTGGAGGCATGTACCCTTCAGCATGCGAGAGCATTCACCAAATGCTAGTGACCCGTCTCCGCCGAGCCGTTGAACGTCAGCCAACGGCCTAGCAACATGGGGATCACACCATCCCCGGACTGGCTGCCCCCGCCTACAAAGCGTTCCGGCCTGGTGGAACTCGGGCAGGGCAGCGTCATTGTACAGTCCAGCACCCATGCCGTGGCCCTTCCTCACGTATACCGTCGTGACGTTCCATACCCCCACAGCGGCGACCTCCATGCTCGACTCGTGGATGACAGGCTCCCGAGACTGTAGCCATGACGGTGCCACGAGACGATCGATTACGCAGTATCCATGCTTCCACGCAGCCAGCCCAGAGGCCGTCTGCTCCGATTCGCCTCCCGGGCAGCTTGTCTCTCTCCCTAATAAGGCGAAGCCTCTCACGGTTGAGCTTTACTTTTTATGCTGTCCCTCCTAAGCAACACGATTCCCAAGACGATCCTCCTCAAGAGACCTCTTGCTTCCTTTCTTCCCCAAACATCTTTACCCCCACGCTAGACCCCTTTCATAAACTTCGTCATGAGGCTCATCATCAGGGACGATGCCGACTCGGCAGCCGCCTACGTCGCCAACTACATCGTCAACCGCATCAGGGAGTTTGGTCCCTGTACCGAGAGGCCCTTCGTCATGGGTCTCCCTACTGGGAGTACCCCCATGGGCGTGTACAAGCTCCTTGTTGAGAAGTACAAGGCTGGCGAGGTATGTGTTCCTAGACGACATTCGTCATATGCATGGCTAATGGTAATCCAGGTCTCTTTCGAACATGTTGTCACATTTAACATGGTGAGTAATATGCTTCACTTCATGCGTCCTGCTCGTCTCATACATCGCATACAAAATCCAGATGATGCCCAAGAACATCAACTAACTTGCTCAGGATGAATATGTGGGCATCCCTCGCGACCACCCTCAGAGCTACCACACTTTCATGTGGCGCAACCTCTTCTCTCACATCGACATTCTCCCCTCCAACGTCCACATCCTCAACGGCAACGCCCCCTCTCTCGAGGCTGAATGTACTGCCTACGAAGCCGCCATCAGCGCGGTTGGCGGCATAGACCTTTTCCTCGCCGGCATCGGCGCCGACGGCCACATCGCCTTCAACGAGCCAGGCTCCTCGTTGGCCTCGCGCACACGCGTCAAGACCCTAGCCTATGACACGGTCCTCGACAACGCGCGCTTCTTCGGCGACGACCTCGCCGCCGTGCCCCGTTGCGCCCTGACCGTCGGTGTGCGCACCGTCCTCGACGCCGCCGAGGTCGTTGCCGTCGCGCTCGGCGCCCGCAAGGCGCCCGCCCTGCAGCGCTGCATCGAAGCCGGTGTCAACCACATGTGGACCTTGTCGGCGCTGCAGATGCACCCGCACGCCATGGTCGTCTGCGACGAGGACGCGACGCTTGAGCTCGCCGTCAAGACGGTCCGCTACTTCAAGTCGATAGAAAAGGTCGCCCGCGAGCGCGGCTACGAGCAGGTCCTGCCCGCCGAGCTGCGCGTCCACCCGGCCTCGCCCACCTCGCCCGCCAGCAGCGGCAGGGACTCGGCCGTCGTCGTCGACGCTGTTCAGAGCCCCACCGTGCTGCGCCCGCAGCCCGTCACACCGGCCCTGCTGAGGGCCAACAGCCCCGCGCTCGACCCCAACGTCCGCGCCGTGTCGCCCGATCTCGACCTCGTGCCGGATCGCATGGCGTCCAGGATCCCCGAGCCGGCTCTGACGAGGCGTCTGACGCCGAACCCGGAGCAGCAGATGCCCGGTCTGCGGATGAATGCCGTCGGAGCGTGAGGTTGCCGCCTGGAAGCGGAGAAAACGGACATTTGATTTCTTGGAATTGGAACGATTGCTTCCCACTCGTTTTGCGGAGTTTGATAGAGACCAGAATGATATCCAATGTATGATGTATTTGAAAATGAAAGAAAGCCAGTCAAGGGCCTGCCCGATCATTCATGAATATACGACTTTATATTTGCCTTATTTGCAACGCCGAGTTAGAAGACGGTGGCACATGTATCCCATCTCACCTGACTGTGAGAATGGGAGATTAGGGAGATCGATGCCTCCCCTCCCTGGGTGGCGTGTGAAGCGAAGATTCAGCCCTGCATGGCTTGGATTGCAGTCCAGAGAATTGGCAGCTGGTCTATGCGACAGTTCAACAGTAGGCGTTTGAAATCAATGGTCATGGGTATTCAACTGTCTGCATCCGTCTCAGCTTCAGGCCTCTTTCCTGTCCCACTCCTCTCATCAACCCTAGCGCATGGCTGTGGCCAGGGGCAGCTTATATGGTACATAGATGATAATGCGAGCACGGCGCGCCGGATCTCTCAACCTCAGATTCTCCACAAAAAATACATCGTGACACCCTTCCATACAAATATGTGCCCTGTTCTTCAAGACTCAGCCGTGAAGTATCTCTTCATCTTGCTCCGCATCTGCTGAGCCTTGAGCTCAGCAGGCACAATGGTGTGGTGTACAATGTGGGGCCGATACACGGCTTCAACTGGAGGCATCCTGTTCAGAGACGTCAGCTGAAGGATCTGCAATCACAGAGTGTGGAACATACCAGTCGTCCACACTGAGGGGAAAGTATTCATAAAGCATATCCTCGTCATCCTTGGGGCTCTGACTGGCTGTCGGTCTCGTGGCAGCGGCCGTCTTTGAAAACCGCGGACTCTGCAGCTCCGCACTTGACCTGTTCGGACTCCTCTCGTCTTCGGATAGAGAAAGATTGATTGGGCCGGACACTCCCTGCCGTGCATTGCTACTAGCTAGCAATGCGTGCCCCATAGACCTGCTGGGCTCGTTGGACCAGGACGGTATTGGTGGCCGTGAGATGCCTGGAGACATGGCTAGCCTCTTTGCCGAGTGCAGTGTGTTTTGCTCTTTCGACGGTTGTGGTGTCGGCCAGTCGCCGGTGTACTATGAAAGGTCAGATGACGACAAGAGAATATCGTGCTTATTACCATACCTGAACACTGGACCCAGATGACGACAATCTCTGCAGTGGTGGCGGCTGCCCCCCATTGCTGTCTCTATGCTGCATGGAAGCATCTGAATTGCTCCGTGCACCAGACTTCTTCTCTCCCGTCAGGGGTATGTCCTTTTTGCTGTCAAAATTTCTCGGGCTCCTCCCCCTGACGATGACGGGACTGGATGCAATCTCCGCAACCTTGACCCAATCGCCCGACTGTGGTCTTGCAAGGAGGTTAATCTGCACAACGTAATGTTGCTGCAAGCCTTTCCGTCTTCCGTTGTTGGCCGTCGCGTGCTTAAACTGAAGTCTCTTCCAGGACATGTTCAGCGTAACACGATTCGCGTCGACTTCCTGTCCGGCACTGAGATCGAGCGGGCAATTTGGCGGCGCACTCGTTGCCTTCATTTCCTCGCCTGGCATAGGGTTGGTGCTCTTCCAGGGTATCGATATGATCTCGGTCCCTTTACTCTCAATGGACTCCACGGCACCGATGGAGGCCGACAATTCGAATACGGGCATGTGATTTCCGTGCTCGTCAATGACATGTGTGATGTGTCGTGGGAGCGTAATCTCCCCAAGACACTGCCATAGGTTTCGTCGGTAGCAGGTCAGCTCAAGGGGTCTCCCAGCCGTGTCCCCGCCGAACACGTCCTCGGCGACGAAGAACATGCCACGCAGCTCAGCCGTCATGGATGATATATCGACGTGCTGCCCTGCCTCGTCGACAAGCGTGGCCCTCGGCGCGGCAGCTGAGAAGCCAAGCAACTTGTTGTCCAGCTCTTGCGTCGGGGAGTCCTGGTTCGGGTCCTCAATCGGCGGTTGAGCCTCGTAAGGCCGGGCAGAATAAGAAAAGGGGTCGTCGAAACCGGCAGAGAAATCTTGAAAGTCGTAGGTGGGCGTGAATGGAAGTGAAGGAAATGCGCCATGGACGCTGTCCCTAAAACGTGGATCATTAGCAGTGTTCAGTGTTCAGGGGGGGAGGAGGGGTGTTCCCCAGTCAGAGAGTACGCACATCAGCGAGTCGTCGAAGATGGAGGGGTCAAGCCCGTCCACGACGTCTGGCCCGAGGCTCATGTTGTCGTCTGGGGTCGCAACGGCAAGCGGCGGGGGCATTGTGTTGAATGTCTCCATTGCATGGCTCGGTCGACTTGCGACACGAGCGGCGATGCGATGCGCACGCCCGGTGCGGGGGAGATGGCGGACGGAGGCGATGGACAGGTCGTCTCAGAGATGACGCCGGGAGTCCGTATATTGTCTTGTCAAGGTCTTGGTCGTGTCAGCAAGCTTGTGGTGTTCGTTTTCGGCTGCCGGCGACGTTGGGTAGGGCACTTGAGTCCGGAACGAGGGTCTCGTCGTTAGGTTCTCGGACACAATCTGCCTTGGGGGAAAGAGCGACAGAGCGCAGCGGCCAGCAGCGGAGGGCAGCCCACCTGCCTGGTTCAACCCCGGAAAGTCCTTGCCCTGCCGTCCTCGGACGATTCCTATCAATAAGGGCTGGTCTTGTGATTGGATAGAGAGCGGCACAGTTCGCACTGTAGCTTCGAGAACGGGTCCAACTGGAGCCTCCTTGGGGGGGTAAAAAGGCGCTAATGGGTTGCCTTTGCGGGGATGTACAGGGGTATCACACCACTGTCTCAGAGCCGAACAGTCGCCCTCAGCACTGTGACGTTGACCGATTTACCCCAATCGACCGCCACATCCTGTGCAGAGGCAACTGGAATCATAGACATCACGATGTCATGTGTGAAAGCCTGACATTCCACAGCAAAGCATCATGAACATCCGTTGCCCCGATGGCAGTGAGATCTTCTCCGCCACTCTGCTGAACACTAGGTTACACCTGTATTAGCCTGAAAGGTGGGATATGAGACAGTACAAGCCACACTGTTTCATCACATGGTTATCTCCAACCTGTCGAAGCTAGCTAACTCTATGCCCAGTAATATTCCTCTTGTGCCAGGCTTCTTATCATCCCACGATATTCCAGAATAACCTTCCCATCAAATCTTGATGCTTTATCTCTTGCAATTAACTCCTGTGTAGTAATCACTCTTTCAAGCGGCCGTCCGTTCATCTACAGTGGAGAAACTGGGTCTCCCAAGCCTCCGCGACGATACACCAGCGTACCGAACTTCCAGACCTCGTCAATGACGAGTTGCGTCGCCCCATCCTGCTTCTCTTCCGAGAAGACGACAAGGTCGGCGTCAGCCCCGGACTCGAGTGACCCTTTGGTATCCTGCACCTCCAGCATCGCCGCCGGCGTCGAAGTCACTGACTTCAACGCCTTGGGAATAGTGGTGCCGGACCACTTGAGGAAGTTATTGACGCACTCGATGAGGGTGATTGAACTGTTCCATCATGTTAGCCGTCCGGTCACCTCAACAGAATCCGTGCTACTCACCTTCCAGCAATCGTTTCCGTCCCCTCCAGAAGTAGCGTAGGCCCAACCTTGATGATTCTGCTCTCCGCGTCGCCATTCGTCCACTGGTAGGCGCCATCAGGCAGGCCCATCATGTGCATGGCATCCGTGACGAGAATGAACCCATCTGGGTGCGTGTTGAACGCAATGTTGACCGTGGTCGGGTGGAGGTGGATACCATCGGCAATAATACCAAAGTATGGCCTCTCAAGACTCTGCGAGGCTCCAAGGACGCCAAAGACGCCCGGGTTTCTGTGGTGTAGCGGGCGCATCGCGTTGAAGAGGTGCGTGATCATCGTGGCTCCCGCCGCGACTGCCGAAGAAGCCTCCTCGTATGTGGCTTCTGTGTGTCCAATAGAGCAGATGATGCCCCGTTTCGTCAGTTCAGGGATGAACTTCATCATCTGGCCTTGTTCAGGGGCAATGGTGATCTTCTTTATGGGCAGAGGCGCGTCGCCCGACGGGGTCAGGTTGAACGAGCCGTAGCAGGCCTCGATGTCTTCAAATGTCTCTGCTACCTGCAGCACATCCTTGTTGTGGATGCCATTCTTGGAGGAGTTGAGAAACGGTCCTTCGCAGTGCGCGCCGAGCGACTCTGCGCCATTCTCGTGGTGCCGTGAGTTGGAGGGCCCCAGATATGGGAGAACCTACACCACTTAGACATGTTCTTCTTCTAGAGTACTGAACGGCTCTTACCGTCTGATACAGTTCAGGGTTCTGCGATGTAAGGGTAGGCGCGTAGGATGTCACTCCCGTCGCCACCAGCCTCTTGTTCACCTCCAGAACCTTTTTGCCATATTGGGCTGCGTCTTCGAGAAGCGTGGAAAAGTTGAAGCCAAAGCCACCGTTGAGCTGCACGTCGATCAAGCCGGGCGAGAGGATGCGTCCGCCCAGATCGATAGACTTGTCCGGGACGGTGAGCTCATCGAAGAAAGCGGCTTGGCTAGAAATGACTTTGCCTGTCTGAGAGCTCACCCAGAGGTCTTCTGTCACTAACTCATCGCCCCTGACCAGGCGGCAGTTGGTGAACCTAGTGATGCCGCTTTCGGAGCGCGTCGGCGAGAGAGCGATAGGCATAGTGTTGGATACGTTGATGCTTAGTTGGTTATGATCTTCGTCTTCGGTGGTGTTGTCAAGGCCGTTTTGCCCGCCTGCTTTCTGGTGTTGACTCCATACATGCATGAAAAGACGACGGCATAAGGGCTGACGGCTACTGATATGGGCTTGCACTGGCTAGGGAACGTGGTCTCCAACGTGCCCAAGGCCGGATACCGGGAGGGGCGTGGGGTTGCATGCCGTCATCTGTGGTCCATGGAGTGACAGCTTGGACGGGCTCGTGGCAACACTCGTGGCCACAGTAGCCTCCGCTTGGTGGCATGGCAGACGGCAGCGTTGGCCCGCATGTTCCGTCGGTCGGCCGCCAAGGTCACTGAACGGCGATATCTCCAAGGGCCCGCAGGTACTGGAGGGTGCAGTGTGAGTGGAACCCATCCTTTGTCGAACACCATGGAGGAACAGAATGAAGGCTACCGGATGGCTGGATGGGGTCAAGAATGGACCCTTGACATTATCGGTTCGCGGGAAGCGTTACAGGGCTGTCTCGACAGGGTGACGATCCGATGGCGTGGGTGGACTTGCTGGAGCCAGCCTCAAGCCAACGTGGGCGGGTACGTGACGTCCAACAAAAAACAAGTCACTTGTATCTTCAGAAGGCTCCCTTGATTAAGCTTCTATGGTCGCCCGCCTAGGGTAGCAGGTAGGTGGGTTGAGTGGGACAGGACGTGTTGGTACGGTCGTTGAGGGAAACCCACTGTCATGTAACGTCGCACATCTGACCGAGGCGCCGAGGGACATTGGTGCTGTTATCGAAGGCTCGCCCCTGTCTCCAGCTTCCAGCGTCCACGACCACTGAGTTTACTCCCCAGGCTCCCCACGCCCACTGACAGATTACCCTGCCCTGCCTGCACGTCGTGTACAGCGCACGTTCCAGGTCCCCTCTCGTGCAGACTGCACAGACCTTTTTGCCCCATTCCTTGATCAGAGAGGCCCTTCGTGTGTCCTCCAATCACTGACTCAGCCGAGGCTCAGCCGGCTCACCGGGCTACACCGTAGGTTGCACGGGGCTATGGCGCCTCGACCACAGCCGCTCATGGCCCAATCCATCTCAAACGACAAGCGGGAGTCAGCGACCACTGGTCCAGAGCGAACCAAACGCCGCAGCTCCGACAAGGCTCATCGCCGCGAACTGTGGCCTCTGGATACCTCCAAGGCCAATGGGCACACGCGCCGCACGGGGCTATCTCAGAAGCCGATAGCAGCCATGGCGTCCAAGGCAAGTAAGGTCGACATCAAGCTCGATCCGATATGGGAGGACCTCGATTGGTATGTCAGCGGCTCCTCTGGTCTGGTGAAGCTGGAAACGGAGTGTTTGTAACGGTGCGCATGACTGACTTTGTCACATGAAGGGCCATTGGGCAGATGCTCATTATGGGCTGGGATGGCACGGAAGTCACACCACAGATCCGCACCTTGATCGAGGAGCATCATCTGGGATCCATCCTTCTAACGGCTAAGAATCTCAAGTGTTAGTCCAACGTCTCTCGGATCCTTTGCCTGCTTTCACTGGAATCTGATTGCTAAAAGTGACCAGCTGCCCACCAGACAGCCAAGCTCGTACAGGAGCTTCAGACTATCGCTCACAAAGCGAACCACCCACAGCCACTGCTGATCGCTGTAGACCAGGAAAACGGTGGCGTCAATAGTCTCTTTGATGAAGATTACGTCTGCCAGTTCCCCAGTGCCATGGGCATCGCCGCCACGGGCCGGGCCGAATTGGCTTACGAGGTCAACAAGGCCACGGCATCTGCCGTCGGAGCCTGTGGCGTGAACATGATGCTTGGCCCCGTCCTTGACGTCCTCTCTAATGCCAGATATCAGCCTCTTGGCGTCCGTGCCACGGGCGATGACCCACAGGAGGTCTCGCAGTATGGCATTGCAGCAATGAACGGCATCAGAGATGCTGGGCTAGCCTGCTGCGGCAAGCATTTCCCGTCATACGGCAACTTGGACTTCCTGGGTTCCAGCCTCGATATCCCTATGATCACGCAGACACTCGAGGAACTTAGCCTGAGCGCTATCGTTCCTTTCCGAAACGCCATCGCAACGGGGAAACTCGATGCCATGTTCGTCGGCGGATGCGGCATTTCTAATCCCTCCATGAACATCGCTCACGCTTGTCTGTCGGACCAAGTCGTCGATGACCTGCTCAGGAACGAGCTGGGATTTGACGGCGTCGCCATATCGGAGTGCCTCGAGATGCAGGCCCTGAGCCACGACATAGGCGTTCAGAATGGAGTAGTGATGGCTGTCGAGGCTGGGTGCGATCTCGTTCTGCTATGCCGCGCATACGATGTTCAGCTTGAGGCCATCCGAGGCCTGAAATTAGGCCTTGAGAACGGCATCATCACCAGAGGAAGGGTCATGACATCGCTGAATCGGGTAGTCAAGCTCAAGTCAACATGCACCTCGTGGCAGACAGCACTCAACCCGCCAGGCGTATCGCTGTTATCAAAGCTCCGGCCTTCACATTTGGCCCTGTCCACAAAGGCGTACGACGACTCGATTACTGTCATTCGAGACAAGGATCAACTCATTCCACTCTCGAGGTCCATGGATCCCGATGAAGAACTTTTGCTGCTGACGCCCCTGGTCAAACCGTCGCCTGCATCCTCGCTTACGAAAAGCCTGTTGCAGTCGAAAGGAGACCAAAGCGGAGCACCACACATCCACGAGAAATGGGCACATAGAGACAGAGGTTCGATTATGAGCGGCGAAGGAGTCTTCAGAGACTTTGGCCGATCGCTGGCTCGGGCCAGGCACGGCAAACTCCTCCATACAAGCTACACGGCGAATGGGGTTCGACCAGGTATTCAACTTTCCTTCCCAAGGGTCGTCAACCACATACTGACACGATGCTAGTCCATGAGAATCTAATTCATCGAGCATCGACAATCATTATTGTGACAGCAGATGCAAATCGAAACCTCTACCAAAGCGGGTTCACCAAGCACGTCGAGATGATGTGCTCAATGCTGCGATCAAGAGGACAGAAGAAATCTGTCATGGTCGTTGCTGTCAGCTCGCCGTACGACTTTGCTCTAGACAAGACCATTGGCACCTACATCTGCACTTTCGATTTCACCGAGAACGCCCTAAATGCCTTGGTGCGAGCCCTGTGTGGAGACTTTGTACCAAAAGGCAGCTTGCCGGGGACACTGAGGAAGAGCAAGAAGGTTCTGAAGTCTCGTCAAAATTGGATTGTGGAGGAGTACGACCGAGAGCGAGACGCCGATGGCCTTCATGAGCTCATCAAAGCCACCGCACGAGCGAACTCGGCCGATCTCGGTTGCCTAGAAACTGCTACTGCAGCATCGTTTGAGCTCTTTAACCCGAAGATCGACGAGACGCACTTCGTCGTCCGGAACAGCAGCACAAACGCTTTATACGGTTTCGCTGCCACGTATGCCATTGATAGGACAGGCATCCTCGGCGCCATATTCGTGGACCCCTCCAAGAGAAACCATTCCGTGGGACGGTCTCTGCACCGAAGAGCCATTCGACACCTTACCAAGAAGCGAAGCATCAAGAAGGTCCAGCTTGGTACCTGTTTCCCAGGCATATTTCTCGGCATCCCCATTGGGGAGGGCATCGCCGCTTCCTGGTTCGCAAACAACGGTTGGGACATTCAATTTCCAAAACGCCTCACGAATCTTGTCATCAACGATTTGAGCGCTTGGACCGTTCCTGAAGGTCTCTTGCAAGGGATTCAACGAGCGAGCATCAGCTTCGATCTGATACATGGTCTCGATAATGGTGATGCCGAACGGGTTCTTTCTCATGTCAGCCAGCACGCGACTGCTGAGGTGTTGGAGCTGTATAGGTGTGCCCTTCAGGAGACAAAAGCTTGTGGCATCGTCCGAGCCAAGAAGGCAGATGATACTTTGCTTGGTACGATTATAATTTGCAGCCCTGGGAGCCCGTTGGCAACTTATGTCCCGCCATTGATGCCACGCCGTGGAGAAGGCATCGGCGGGGTGCTGGCGCCCGTCGTGCCACCGACATCCCAGGATGTTCTGGTGTTACAGGGGCTGGTGCTGATGGGCACACGACAAAACAAGGCGCACAAGTCGGCCAAGACGGTGCTGAGTTGGGTGAGTCATCCTTTTTTCAACTCTTTGCGTACTTTTTCTAATACGTTTCCAGGTTCAGGATGCTGCCTACGAACACGTTGTTGCCATGGGCTTCGAAATTCTCCAGTCATTTGAGGAGATCACGAACACTCCAGATACAGTAAGAAGACTTGCATTGCCCCAGATGAATCGATGAACGCTGACACGCTGATCTAGTGGGCCGACCTGATATAATGAGAATGATTGATGTCTATACTATGCACGGCTAATCGATGAGGCTTTCTCGAAGCCTAGCAGCTACGTCATCACGTTTGGTCTCTCCTGGAATTAGTCGTCGCTCTATATGTTAAGGCGTGAGAAGGCCAGGCCGATACGGGGCCCAGTAGGGGCGTGGCACGGTTATAACGGCAACAGTTCGAACCGACCCCATTCGATGCTTCGCATTCAGAAGCTGGGTGCACAGCACAAATTGGGGCTTAACAGTTTGCCGATGGTTCCATCAGTGCAAGCCGGTAGCCGTCGCAGAAGTCACTGATGCTGACAACAGTCGCCCAGATGACTCAGGTGGGACTATGCACGGGAACAGTCTGCACGATGGCTTCGCGGTTGCCAAATCCACTGGCTGCCCTGGAGAGCGCTTTTCTCATGACGGCGCTCTGGTGGAGTCCTGGCTCCGTCATAGATAGCAACTGCCAGGACATAGCTGCATCCAGCGTCTCGTCAACAGCCTCCATGGTTGCCGTGCAATGATCAGGTAAAAGAGAGGGATGCAGCACCTGTGCAGAGGGTGGTCAACACGGATGAATGTCCGTATTCCAGGGGCATGTGTAAGTGAAACAGAGAGATGAGTCGTAACTGACAGACTTGAATGAATACGCGTTCTTACCGGTTTGCCAGTTCGTTCCCAGATACATGGACATGTGCTTCAGACATTGTGTCTGTCTTTCAGGCAGCCCTGTTGAACGTTACGAATGCCTGAATCTGGATCAGGCTTGCTGGAGCAGTATGCGTAAAATGGATATGCAAAAGGCGCTTCTGTGTGGGCTGGTCACCCGCTGCAGCTCAAAGCTTGGGGCAAAGTCTCGAGTCGGTCGGTTGATGCTTGCTCCTCCTCTTCTCACCCCTCCTCCCATCCCGTGCCCCGAGTGTGTGAATGGATCGACCAAGCTCAGATAGCCGACCCTGACGTCCGTCCAGCTGGGACGAAGAATGCACAGCACCAGAGGAACACCAAGACTGCAATCGGCCCGCGTATCGTGAGCCTGCCGATCTGAGATACGCAGAGTTGGCGAAACATTCAAGTCCAATAGATATCCTCGCAGGCGGTCGGGTGCTCCTCGTCTCATCTGAAGTGGGTGTAAGCTACTCTATCTCATCTAGATCGCTCCCGCAGTCCCGCCTCCGGCCCACAGCCCAACAAGCGTCCAGGGCGCCCTGGGTGATGAGACTCAGCATTCGCATGCACCCACGAAACCATCCGAGGGTATAGTTTTCCTCGTCGTCAGGGCAAGCAGTGCAGCCAAGACTGCCTCCTTCATCTCCGTCTTTGCATGTCGACTGCACCGCCGGAAGGAGACCTCCATCGCCAGTTTCGTCGAGCGCATAGTGCTGGTGGTGTGTAGGTAGGGTCGTACTGCGCTGGTGGCTGGGTACCTGGCCGGCCGCATAGTGGGTGGGTTCGGCTTCTCCAAATCCTGCTTCAGGGGTAAAGCTTGCGAGGACCATACAGCACTGCAGCACCCCGCCTGCAGTTGTTTGGACCTCGCGTCCGTCCTATTCAGCTCGCCTGCATGTTGGAGTAACAATGAGGAGAAGGAATGTGTTCATGATCCCAGCAGCATTATCCGCTGTCGCCCAAGGCCTTGCTAACTTGTCGTTCCGGCTGGTTCAGCAATCGACCTCTATCACAGCTTGTGGATCTTCGAGGTGATGTTCACATTTTCAGCATGAGAGTCATCTCCAGGAGCACATCGCGGTTCGTGTCCACAGTCCAGGTATACGCGCATCGCCTTGCCGGGGTATCGCCATTGGCGCCCTGGCCAGCCTTCATTTCGAATCGGTCTGGTTGTGACATATGAGGTCGGACCTGCACACCTGTATTTGTCGATAAGATCTCGGGTCGTCGGAAGTCTGGCCTTTCTCTAGCTCTCTCGACCCACGACCACGTCAGACATAGATCGGACAATCCATAATATATGTGGTTGAATCTACCCTCCAAGAAAACATATGGTGTTCGAGACGAAATTTGATGTATGTAATTACATCATTCTGCCTGTGTGGCATGGTACTCTTCGCGCCCATTTCAAGCGGCGCAGTGATTATTGGAGAGGCACGGAATCGGGCCATGACGTCGTAAGCATGAAAGCGAAAGAGCGCACCCAAACCCCAACGTTAATTGTGAGCTTAATCCCCCGGATTGATCGTCGTGAAAAAGGCTCGTCTGTGCCCCTGATCGACCGCGAAGGCTTCTTACTTTGGACTGGCCCCATGGAGGATTTGTTCGAAGGATTGTAACGATTTCCTTTTCGAGCGGTGAAGGCTCGTCATCTGGGCGGTAAACTTGGCACACCCCTGGCTTTTGACCTCCAAATACAGCATCGCGACCATGTGAATGCAGCCTTATAACCTCGATGACGTAGCGAGTTTGCGAAACACAACAAAGCAAGAGCTCGTGGCCTGCCATGAGTCTGTCAGCATGTCTATATATGTCAGACAGTCAATCGTCTTGAGTGAGTCGACTCGAACGACCATCAATCGAAGCCAGAAGAAGACTTTCACGCATCCCGTCTACCCAAGCGCAGCCAATAGAGATCCTATCGCCAAACAGTCCCCAAGGCCACATTTGAGCCACACCGCCATTTATTTCCTGATCGAAAAATTCAGCGGCGTAGCACGCCACCCAGATATCTGCAATGTCATCATGCGTCAACACCAGTGCCATCATTGATGTGCAATCCCCGGGCGTCCCTTCTGGCGTCAAGTGGGTCTCAACCGTCTACACAAACGAAACACTCTACGCTCTGCACAAGTGCTGTCCGTCGTCGTTCATTCACCGGTCTGGCCTCAACAGCTGCGTCGTCTGGTGCGAGCTGCTTGACGAGTGGTTGGAGGAGTTCAAAGATGAATCCAAAGGATCGTACTTCAGGAACTTATCAAGGTGTATGGATAATGAGCTGGGCGACGAATATTTCTCCGGCCTGACCGCCAGTACCCTCTCGGCTGCGGCGCCTCGAGTTCACTCGACCGGAGTGAAGAGCCTCCTTCTTGCGGCCTTGGTCGTCGCTGTTGCTGCCTGTCAGTGACGCCTAGGCTGAGCGCTGGTGCTTTTGGGCGAAGTCGATGTTGCATGAGAGCATGGCGCATTCGGGGTGGGCGGCTTCTTTTTCTGATAGCGAGCGAGTTTAATCAATGTTGGCTGCCAGAGCATCTGGCGTCTTTCGTACTTTTACTGGTGAGCGCCATTCTCTCCATGAGATATTCCAATAGAACCAACTGTGGAAAAAACAATTCGTATTCCGTTTGCTGACGGGGGTAGCCGCGTGCTAGTAGTTGGAGGCTGCCGTCACGTCTCCGGCAGGTAGCCGAATGACCGGACGAACGAGTTAGCTAACAGTCTCTGTTGGAAACCCCAGGGACCACCTACCTCCTCAGTTCTCAAATCGCATCGACCGCGAAGCTTGTCGGCAGGCGCGATCAGTGTATCATCAGCGAAAAAAAAAAGAAGGAAAAAAGGCAGGGCTGCAGACGAGCCCCGAGTCCCGCACCCTGCACATCCATCACCACGCAAAGCGTCCGCTAGTCTAACGCCCGTCCCCGACCTGTACGAAGCCCACGTGGCAGCCCGAAAACCTACAGCGACAGCGCAAGCAACAGTGTTGCAAATGCCATGAAAAATAATCATGAGGTATAGTGCTGTGTGAGGAAGAGTACCCCGTGAAGTGTGGTAGAGGATGCACCATCGTAGTGCCTTGCAATGGAAATAACTTGTAGGGGTGTTCCGATGATCTGGCCTAATGCAAAGCGCATATGATTTTGATTTGGAAGCCGGAATTCAACAAACCAGCCACTATGGCCGAGTGGTTAAGGCGTCTGATTCAAGATACTGAGCGCTAGCACAACTAGCGCAATCTTGTGCCCCTGAGGGGTATCATAACCAGATCTCGAGAGAGGCTCGCGTTCGAATCGCGATGGTGGCAATTTGTCTTTTTGTCCGTTGCGCAAACTGACAAAGTATCTTTTTCCAGTCGTCGCCGAATGGATGACAGCACCCGAAATGCTGGCGGCCGAGTGCAGGCTGAATGTGTTTTACTCTTTACCTCTGCGGCGGCCCTCACCATGAGACACCACATCCCCACCACGGTCTGTTTATGCAGCGCATCATCACTGGATGCATACGATATGCCAGGTGAGAGTCTGAGAATGCAAGAGACGATTCAAAAATGCATCTTCATTCAATCAATGATGGGAAAGAGAAATAGCAAAAGTCGCACCCAGGTATAAGTCTAACCACAAAGATGCATCATGCAGCAACGTCCATCTCTACACACCACTGCCGTTCGAGCCCAAGTCCCACCCACACAAATCCTCATACCTTCTTTACTGTGAATTCGCCCTTCAGCGCTGAAGTATCCTTGACCTCGCCATCGGCCCCCACCTCGAGGATGCCGACCTCGTTACCGTCATTGTCCACGAGCGACGCCTTGGCACCCTCCTGCGCACCGTATAGTCGCACCTCAACGTCCTCCGTGTAGTCGTACACGGCACCAATGGCCTTCTCGCTGCCGAGCACAAGGACCGTGTTTTCACGCACATATAGAGGCAAAGTGCCAAAGCCGTGCGTCTCGGTGAACCAGCCGGGGCCATCGCGGGTCTCTCCCGTAAAGTAAGACGTCCACTTGCCCTTGGGCAGGTAGAATTCGACTTCGCCCGATTCCTCAAAGATGGGTGCCGCCAGGATACTGGGACCCACCATGAACTGGCGGTCGAGGTACCAGCTAGTCTGGTCGTCGGGAAACTCGATGCACATGGCACGCAGCGACAGCGGCAGGCCCTGCGCAACGGAAGCCTGTGCCTCGGCGAAGAGGTAGGGCATGAGACGGCCCTTGAGTGCGGTCCACTTGGCCAACGTTCGAGAGCAGCCTTCTTCTGACTGGTCGTCGTCATCCATCACCCAAGGCACACGGTACGAGCTGCTGCCGTGCAGGCGACTGTGGCTGCAGAGGAGGCCCATGGCCACCCAGCGCTTGTAGATCCACGCTGGCGGCTTACCCTCGAAGCCGCCAATGTCACAGCTCCAGAAGGAGAAGCCGCTGAGACCGAGTCCGAGGCCGCCGCGGACGGACTCCGCCATGGCCTCTGGGGTGGACTCGCAGTCGCCGCCCCATTGCAGAGGGAAGCGCTGCGCACCGGCGCAAGCTGTCCGGGCGTACAGGACGGCCTGGTTTTCGCCGTATCTTGCCTGGAGAGCCTCGTAGACAATCTTGTTGTAAATGAAAGCGTAGTAGTTGTGCATCTTGTGGGGGTCAACGGTCTTGTCATGCCATTCGACGTCCAGCGTCGGGATGCGCTCGCCAAAGTCCGTCTTGATGCAGTCGACGCCCTGGTCGAAGAGGCCGTTGAGCTTCTCAACATACCATGTGACAGCCTCGGGGTTTGTGAAATCTACCAGGCCCATACCGGCCTGCCACAGGTCCCACTGCCAGACATCGCCGTTCTTGCGCTTGACAAGGTAGCCCTTCTCAGCAGCTTCGCTGAAGGCGGCTCCGTATTGCGCAATATAAGGGTTGATCCAGACACAGACCTTCTTGCAAAGACCAGACTCCTTGAGCTGGGCAATCTGTCCCTTGGGGTCGGGGAACCTCTCCGAGTCAAAGACAAAGTCAGTCCATGTGAAGGCCTTCATCCAGAAGCAGTCGTAGTGAAACACATCAACTGGCGAACCGCGCTCCTTCATGCCTTCCAGGAAGGACTTGACCGTGTCCTGGTCATAGTTGGTGGTGAAGCTGGTGGTCAACCAGAGTCCGTAACTCCAGTTGGGCACCTTGCCGGGGCGACCGGTCAGAGTGGAGTACCTTTGGAGGACCTCTTTAGGGGTAGGGCCGTAGATGATGTACCACTTTAGCCTCTGTCCCTCAATGGCGGTCTGCACGCGGGTGCACCTCTCGCTCCCGATCTCCAGATCGACCCTCGCAGGGGTGTCGATGAAGATACCATAGCCCTTTGAGCTAAGCCAGAAAGAGACGTTCTTGTAGGCCTGATCGCTAGAAGTGCCACCATCGGCGTTCCACAGGGAGATTGACTGGCCAACCTTGTTGTATGCACCAAACCTCTCGCCCAGGCCATGGACGGTCTCGCCGACAGCCAGTGAGGTCTGAGTGAACATGTAGTGCTTGAAGTCTCGCATATCCCCTGTCTGCATGGGGTTGCTTGGCGCGGGGCTGTATGCCAGGCCCACGCTACGGGCCTGCAGGGACGTGAGCCGCTTAGAGCCGTCGGCGCTGTGGAAGCGGATGTCAAAGTTGCTCGGGTCGACCGTTACAGCCAGCGAACCGGAAGTTAACGTCGTGCCCTTGTCGCTCGTGGAAATGGCTGCCGTGACCTCCGGTCTTCCCTGGGGAAATAGCTCAAAATGAGGTCCCTTGATCTGGGCACCAGCCCAGTGAGTCGCTTCGACAGAGATGATTCCATCCGCCTCGGCATTGACATCCTGCGCCACAATCAGCAAACGCACGGCAAAATTGATATGCGATTGGCACGATGCTTACCATGGTGATTGTGCTCCTGTTCAACGTGTGGCCGCGGCTCTCAATGGTCTTAGTCGGACACAACAGGTTGAGGCCCTTGCCATCAGGCTTTTCGTTGGTGTAGTAAACCTGCTCGGCGTGCTCAACCCACATGTTCTCGGCTGGCAGCCACATACCATCCCTGAAGCGAGGCATGATGGGCAATGTTGAAATGGAGGCGGACAATGGATCGTGAGTTGACAGACGGGGGTTTTGGCTCAGTCGGTCTCAGGTCAGGTCACAATCCTGTCAGTTCCAGGGCGGACAGACGGGCACTGGTGAAGCAACTTTGGTTCAAGGGACGAGGACAGACAGACGAGACGAGTGTGAGTTGTCTCTTGTAGGCCTTGTCCAAGGCGGAGGAAAGGAAAATGGAAAATGAGCATCGCTGGCGTCGGCTTGGACACTTGGTTGAGTCGAGGCTGACATTGTGGCCTCCGGTGATAGCCCGGCGCGGTTGGCGAATTGGGGTTAAGCAATCCCGCCGTACCCGCTTTGCAGCGAAGCTTAGACCGACGGAGACGGACCAAGTTGTGCGAATCATGTGAGGTAAGATGCTTTGGGGTCACTGGAGAAACCTTCGGGTTCCATTGGCACGGCGGGCGGGCCGGTGCAGCCAGGCGGCTTTAACGGGGCTCGAGAGGTGTCTGGGGAGGGCAGATGAGGGGAAGCTTCGGCTCGTTGGAGGGGCGTCGTTCGGTTGAGGAGGGCGGGGAGGCGTGCTTGGCTTGCTCGGATCTGCAAGCGGAGCTCCTACGCGTATCGCGAGCGTCGGCGATTGCTAGCTGCTCTATGGAGATGGTAGTCAATTGTACGCGTCTTAGTGAGGATTAGTTAGCAACATCTTCGACTCCGATAGTTCATGATGTGCCATATGTGACGAGAAGAGATCAGAAAACCACTGGTGGCGGTGGCCAGCGCCAGGTGATGGATGGGCAAGATCCGAGCGAGTATGTAAGTCTGAATTCGAGGAACCCACCCCGCCATCAAAGGCGGGATTGTGCGGAGAGGATAAGAAAGGAAAGGAGGCCATAAGCCCCCGGGCCCCTCTTTCTGCGGCCTGCCGACAACCTTGAAGCGTCGGGTATCGGGTTTGAACCGTCCTCGTGGTCATTTGTGAGAGACCAGGGCCATACAGGAGATGACATGGATGGCTCTGATGCCTGGACGCGATGGAAGGAATTGACAGGGGCACAAAGGGATGAACAGGATAAGAGTGGAGGATGGAAGATGTGGAGGACAGGCAACTGGTGATCTGCCGACCCTTGGCTTGGCTTAGGGAGGGGAGAAAGAGAGTGAGCGAATTGCCCAGTGGCAGGCCAGCGGTTCTCAGAGCCTCGGACCCCCTTCTGCCGCTGTCTGGCCATTGGTGGGAACATGGCCTTCTCGGATCCACTCCCGGCTCCGCCAAGCACCGGCTATTCGACATGTTCGACTGTAGGTAGGTACTCCTGGTGTTGTAACTACCTAGGCAGGCTAGGTAAAGGTAGCTCCTGAATTGAGTACAGGGAAAGAGAAAGAGAGTAAGGCGAGGCAGGTGGTGCCTGGACCCCTGTACCCCGGACCTTCTCCAACTGCCATCTCGGCTCCTGCTTTGGATGCTTCGCAGAGGGCACCGACCACTATCGAAAGTCAACCTACCACGCCCATCCCAACTCCAACTTCCCCTCATCAAAAACACGCTCAAGACTAGGAACAGGCCACAGGCCACATCGGGCTACTGCACCAAAGCCATGCAACAACGGCCCTGTTCTCCTCATACGATCAGCACGCCCCTCGACTCGCGCAGGAACTGCCAGGGGCTGTGCTACCCCGTCCAATGGCGATGACCCAAGGCCGCAGCTCTCTGCACCCATACTGCTCCTTGATCCCCAGACCAGCACCCTTGAGCCCTTGTGATGTCCACCCCAGATCTACCTTCACGAGGTCGTTGAAGATCGATGCGGAGTAGGTTTACCGTTGTCAGCGGCAGCAGCCTTTTTTACCGGAATGAAGTCATTTCTGGATGCTATCCTTGGCCGCAGACCACGAGGATGTCAAGGTCTTGGGTAGTAATAAGGCACAAAAGACTGACATATTAATACCCCCCCTTTCCCGCGTCGGTCCCTCGAGATTTTTTTTTGTTCGAGAACGAGAAGCGTCATTGTCGTTCACGCCCTTCCCCGTCTCCGTGTCTCTGCGACGTTTGTACCTTCCATCATGAAGTTCACCTTCGCTACCGGAGCTTCGCTCCTCATGGTGGCCGCTCAGGCCCAGAACTCATCGTGTGTTCCCGTCTACAAGAACCCGAACGCCGATGTCGATGACCGAGTCTCCGACCTCCTCAAGCGCATGACTGTCGAGGAGAAGACCGCCCAGCTCATCCAGGGTGATATTCGCGACTACCTCAACATTACCGATGGTCGCTACAACGAGACCGCCATGGAGTGGATCGCCACCAAGCGCGCCAACTCTATCTGGACCGGTCTCTTCATGAACCGTACCATGGTCAGCCGTGGAGCCAAGCTCGCCCAAGACTACCTCGTCAATGAGACGAGGCTGGGTATGTCCCCCCTGACCTCAATACAAAAGCCAATTCAAGCGTACTGACTCATCTAGGCATTCCCGCCTTCATCCAGAGCGAGGGTATTCACGGCTTCCTCGCGATCAATGCCACCATCTTCAACTCCCCAATCGCCCACGGTTGCGCCTTCAACCCCGAGCTCATTGAGAAGATGGGACGCGTCATTGGCGTCGAGTCGCGCGCTCTAGGCGTCAACCAGATCTTCGCGCCCGTTGTTGATCTGGCCCGTGAGATGCGCTTCGGTCGTGTCGAGGAGTGTTACACTGAGGATCCCTACCTGTACGGCTCCCCTATGACTTTTACATGAGAGTCTGGCTGACAGTATTCCAGGGCTGGCGAGTACGGCTACGCCTATGTCAAGGGTCTCCAGGAAGAGAAAGTGTGTGCCATGGTCAAGCACTTTGCTGCTTTCGCCACCCCCGAGCAAGGTGTCAACACGGCTCCTGTGCACGGAGGCCAGAGGGAGCTTCGCACCACATATCTTCCCCCCTTCAAGCGTGCCATTATCGATGCCGATGCCTGGTCCGTCATGAGCTCCTACAACTCCTACGACGGAGTTCCTACCATTGCGGACCACCACCTTCAGGAAGAGATCCTTCGCGAGGAGTGGGGATACAAGAACTACATCATCGTAAGCCGATCTCATATCTCATCATGCGGTACATCCCCTCTAATAACATGGTGTTAGTCCGATGCCGGCGGTACCGCTCGTCTTGTCGACGCCTTCAAAGTCTGCGCCGCCGAGCCCTTCGACCACGAATGCGTTACGACCAAGACTCTGCCCGCTGGTAACGATGTCGAGATGGGCGGTGGCAAGTACAGCTTCGAGCACATCCCTGAGCTCATCGAGGAGGGCAAACTCGACATTGCCACTCTTGACCAGGCTGTCTCTCGTGTTCTCCGCGCCAAGTTCCTGACTGGCCTCTTCGAGACCCCCTACACCGCTGTTGACGAGGATGAGCACTGGGACTACATCAACACAAAGGAGCACAAGGCCCTGGCTCGCGAGATTGATGCCGAATCCATTGTCCTGCTTGAGAACCACGAGAATGTGCTGCCCATTTCCAAGAAGGCTCACGTTGCTGTCATCGGTCCCATGGGTCACGGCTATGTCAACTACGGTGACTACGTCATTCACGAGGCCATGACCCGTGGTGTGACTCCCTTTGAGGGTCTCCGCGATGCCAGCGAGGGCACCGTCACTTTCACTCAGGGTGGTGACCGCTGGTCCAACTCGGATGAGAAGTTCCCTGAGGCCATCGCCGCTGCCGAGGCCGCCGATGTTGCCGTCGTTGTCGTTGGCACCTGGTCTCGCGACCAGGATGAGCTTTGGGCCGGTCTCAACGCCACGACTGGTGAGCATATTGATGTTTCCGACCTCAAGCTCGTCGGCATGATGCCCCGTCTGGTCAAGGCGATCCTCAAGACTGGCACCCCCACCGTTGTCGTCTACAGCTCTGGCAAGCCCATCACCGAACCTTGGATCTCTGAGGAGGCCGCCGCTCTCGTGCAGATGTTCTACCAGGGTGAAGAGGGTGGTCACGCTTTGGCCGATATTCTCTACGGCGATGTCAACCCCTCTGGCAAGCTCTCCGTTGCCTTCCCCTACGACATCGGCACCGCACCTGCGTACTATGACCACCTCAACTCGGCCCGCAGCTGGCCCAACCCTGGTCGCATCTACCCTAACGGCACCCTTGTCTTCGGCAGCAACTACGTCTTCAACAGCCCTCTTCCCATGTATGAGTTCGGCTACGGTCTCTCCTACAGCGAGTTTGTCTACTCCGGTCTTGAGGTTTCGACCAAGACCCCCTCTGCCGACGAGACGATCACCGTTTCCGTCAACGTGGAGAACAAGGGCAAGCACGACGGCAAGGAGGTTGTCCAGGTCTACATCAAGGACCTCGTTGCCTCAGTCGACGTGCCCAACATCAAGCTCAAGGGCTTCAAGAAGGTCAACATCAAGGCCGGTGAGACTCAGAAGGTTGAGATTGAGCTCGACGTCGGCGAATGGGGTCTTTGGAACCCCAAGATGGAGTATGTCGTTGAGCCTGGCGAGTTCCGCATCCTGGTCGGTAGCTCCAGCGCTGATTTCCGTGCCAACACCACGGTCACTGTTGCCTGAGTGGGGGGCGATCAGTATATAAAACAGGTGGCCTGGCTGTGACCAGGTGATGCATGAATAATAGCTTTCCTTAATATAAACCGACATGGTCGTTACTATGCCACTGTAAGAAGAATCGCCAAAGCTCGATTTGTACTTTCAATGACTCGCCTGCCTCTCACAAGTCAACTAACGCCGCCGATTTTCCTCGTCCTCGTTTCGTTGAACAACCAGCCTGCCACCATCACAACGCTTCACCTAACGCCGCCCCTCGTTGACAAACGACCTAGAAGTTATCCTTTCCGGTGAACTTCTCGTTCTGCACAACCTCGACCCAGTAGTTATCGGGGTCCAGCAGGAAGGCCACGTTCTTCATGCGTCCGTCCGTCAGCCTCTTCTTCCAGTTGCAGTTCAGCGACTCGAAGCGCTCGCACGCAGCATCAAGATCGTCGACGGTGACGCAAATGTGGCCGAAGCCCTGCGGCTGATCGTTGCCGTTGTGGTACTTGAAGTCAGCCTCCTTCTCGGTGCCGTGGTTCCACGTCAGCTCGAGCACGCCCTCGCGCGTGGCCGTGCCGTCGCCGTCCTTGTTGTAGCCGAGAAAGAAGAGGGTGAAGCTGCTGGACTCATTCTTGCGCAGCAGGTCCATGCCGAGCACGTCGCGGTAAAAGGCGAGCGACTTGTCGGCGTCCTTGACGCGCAGCATGGTGTGGTTCATGCGGTAGGTCGACACGTCCGTTTCGGTGATGCCCTCGGTCGCGGCGACGTCGTTCCACGTGATGAGCTCAACCCAGTAGCCGTCGGCGTCCTTGGCGAAGGCAATGTGGCGCATGCGGCCCTCGGACAGCTTCTTCTGGAACTGGTAGCCCGCCTTCTCGATGCGGTCGCACGCCGCCTGGATGTTGTCGACGGCGATGCAGAGGTGGCCGAAGCCGCGGTGGGGCTCGGTGTTGCCGTTGTTGACGGTGTAGCTGGCGTCGTCCTCGGTGCCGTAGTTGTGCGTCAGCTCGATGAGGCCCTCGCGGTCGAAGACGGAGGCGCCTGCCGAGACGGCCTTGGGCGAGTCGTAGGCGAGGAAGTAGAGGTCAAACTTGGCCTCGGGCTGGCGGATCGTCTTGATGACGGTCATGCCGAGGAGCTCGTAGAACTTGATCGACGCCTTGGGGTCCTTGACGCGGATCCTCGGGGGGTGGTCAGGAGGGGAGAGGTTCGTGCGCAAGATCGGAGGTGGGCTTACATGGAGTGGTTGAACTTGTAGTTCTTGGGGTTTGTGGTGCCTGCCATTGTTGCGAGCCTGCGAAAGGGTTGCGCTGCAGTTTGTTGTTAGGGACCATGTGGGTATCAGCGTGAGTGAGATGGCAGTGACCGACCTGTGTGGATGGTGGGTTTGTTGAGGTGAGCTTGGGTGAGACGCAGTCGTTGCAGGCCGCGAAGAGAGAACATGTACGTAGTAGTAGCGGTCGTGAATTGCTATGAAGGGGTTTCAACAGCAGAATTGAGTGGATCGTGGGCAACTTTCCAGGTGCGATGCGAAATGGAGGGCCCTGTCTTCTTGTTCGGGTCACAATGCCGAGGGCGCGAGTTTGGGTGTTTGTATGACGTGAGGCGCTGTAGCTCTGTTGCGGATACCCCGCAATGAGCTGGTGACACAGCAGCAGATAGTAGACCGCCGCCACTCATGACCATTACGCTCATTTGACTGGTATGTGAAGCAGCCCCTACGAGTCCTTTGACGATCCGAAAGCTGATATTCCACGCAATCATTGGTATCGCATCAATTGCGCACCCATACATACACTGTGCTTCCTGGAGCTCCAATACTGTTGAGCGGCTTACCTCAGCATAAAGACTGACGTTCTGCCGCTCTATCTGCTATCTCGTACACCGCCTGCCCCATGAAAACGACCCCTCCAAATTACCCCGCCATCCATGTCAGTCCACTACCAGTGACGGACGGTATCGGAACCTTACGGGCAGCGCTTAATGGGCAGTGGAAAATATTTTGAGATCGCCAGCCTGTGACAGTTGAACTCACACCTCATAGCACTCTCTCGACTCCAATTGCCAATTGAACCCAACCAAGTTCCTCATCATGGCTGGCTACGACACATACAGCACGGTGCTAAGCAAACGCTACCCCTCGGAGGAGATGAAGACCATCTTCTCCGAGCGCAACCGCATCTCGACCTGGCGCACCCTTTGGTACAACCTCGCCGCCGCCGAGAAGGAGCTCGGGATCAAGGCCATCACAGACAGTGCCCTCGAAGCGCTCAAGGCCAACATTAAGATCACCGATGAGGCCTTTGATGTCGCCAAGGAGGAGGAGAGGATCCGCCGCCACGATGTCATGGCCCACGTCCACGCCTATGGTATCGATGCTGGCAAGGAGGCTGCCGGTATCATTCACCTTGGTGCCACTTCTTGTAAGCATAGGCCGATACGAGACTCGGGTTGACTAGGAATCTAATGCACTCGACAGGCTACGTCACCGACGGTGCTGAGCTGATTCTCATGCGCGATGCTCTTGACCTGCTCATCCCCAAGCTCGCCAAGGTCATCTCCAACATTCAGCAGACCGGCTTGGCTTGGAAGGACGTTCCTTGCCTGGGCTACACTCATTACCAGGCTGCGCAGCTGTAAGTCAATTACGTTCATGTCAGACGGTCTCCTCTCATCGTAGGCTTGCTACGATGCCGGAGTGGCTACAGCTTCTGTACTTGTTGCACTTGAAAACATTATCCGCTGACAGAACCCCAGTATTACTCAGGGCAAGCGCTTGGCTCAGTGGGCGCAGGATCTCGTGTCTGACCTCGAGAACCTCGAGCGCGCGCGCGCCGACCTCAAGTTCCGTGGCGCCCAGGGCACCACCGGCACGCAGGCCTCTTTTGTCGAGCTGTTCGAGGGCGATACCGCCAAGATTGACCGCCTCAACGAGCTCCTCTGCGAGAAGCTCGGGTTCCCTCAGTGCTACGACATCTCTACGCAGACCTACTCCCGCAAGGTCGACCTGAATGTGGCCAACGCCGTTTGCGGCATTGGTTCTACTGTGCAGCGCATCACGGGTGACATCCGTCACCTTGCCAACCTGAAGGAGATGGAGGAGCCGTTTGAGTCGACCCAGATTGTGAGTCTGACGGAAGAAACTACCATGCCCGACTTTGCGCGCTAACACATAGTCAGGGTTCGAGTGCTATGGCCTACAAGAGGTACAGCATGTCTCGTTGTGTCCTACGCAACCCCTTGCTGACAAGCCCAGGAACCCCATGCGCAGCGAGCGCATTGCCTCTCTCGGCCGCAAGCTCATGAGCCTGCCCATCAACTTTGCCAACACATACGCGTCTCAGTGGTTCGAGCGCACTCTTGACGATTCGGCCATCCGTCGCATGGACATCCCCGAGATGTTCCTCCTCGCCGACAGCATCCTGAACACCATGGACAACGTCACCAATGGTCTCGTTATCTACCCCGCGCGTATCCATGCCCATGTCATGTCCGAGCTCCCCTTCATGGCCAGCGTATGTCATACCGCTCCTTTTCCCTTCAACACGTCATTGGGCGGCAGTACCTTTGCGGTACCCACTTGGCAGTACGAGGCCGGCGCCTACGCGGCCTTGTCGGAATTGGGTATGAGAAAACTACCAGGTGGCTAACAATTCGCAGGAGAACATCATTATGAAGCTGTCGACCCACGGCGTGTCCCGCCAGGATGCGCACGAGGAGGTTCGCGTGCTGTCCCACCAGGCCAGCGACGTTGTCAAGCAGCAGGGCGGGCAGAACGATCTCATTGAGCGCATGAAGAGGACCGAGTTCTTCAAGCCCGTCTGGAACGAGATTGATGACATGCTCAAGCCTGAGCTGTTCACAGGCCGGTCCGCTGAGATCGTGGAGCGCTACTTTGGACCCGAGGGACCTGTCGCGCAGAAGCTGGCGCCGTACAAGGAGTACATTGCCAAGACCAAGCCCGTCCAGTTGTCCGTGTAAGGGTCATGGATGTGTTCCTGGGCGGTAGACAAGGACGGCGAGATGGAGAGGAAATGATGGCATGACAGCGGCGTTTGGGCTGGATTCCCAAAGGGGACCTCGCAAAAAGGTATTTAGAAAATCGGGATAGGTAGAAGAAAAGGAGCGACTTTTGAAACTGGATGTTGCAAGAATCCCCCAATGGCTCAAGAGCACGACCAATTCCATGGGAATTGGCTGGTCTCGATGACCGCATTCAGCATGTGTGAGTGGAGTCCCAGCTAGTCGCTCGAAGCAGTCTGGCTGAGACAGGGAAGGCCACAACCGACCGCAAATCTCTCGAAAAGAAACAGGGAAACCTTGATGATCAAGCCACCCGAGAATGCCGTTCTGACCACAGCACAAAGACAAAGAGGTCATGTCAAAGGATGGTAATTGAGATGGGCAATGTGGGCCATGGAGGATGATGGCGGGGAGAGCGCGGCGCGTTCAGTGACGCCTTTTGACTCGGTAGGTATATAGGTAGGTAGATACCACTGCGGGCACATTACGTAGAGGCCCAAGTCCCCCAGGGCGTTCCCAGAGTTAGCCGCCGTCACTCGACGACTCTCACCTCTGCTCTGTTACATGCCTTCCTTCCTTCCTTTTCCCCCCTCCGCCAGTCTTTCTGAAGCGCCAGAGCTTCAATCATGCCAACTTCGTCTACGAATACTCTCGAATCAAGCCCTGTATCACCAAACGCATGACACAAGAGATCTTCGGCGCTGCCGTGTTTGTGTGCCCATCTATCTAGCTGGAGTGGACGAGCCATCTACCTATCTCGTTCCTTGTTCCAGATCTTTCGAAACAACATCTCGTCCGCCCGTGCTGGCTACGCGGCCCACGGCTGACATTCGCAAATTACCATCATGATGAACCGGCCGAGTTTTCAGCCGATTGACTACGAGGAGGCCGTCATGGACGATGCAGAAATACTGGGCCTCGACGCCCGTGGAGACATGGCCCAGGCTGCAGCACCAGCGGCAGCAGCAGGTACCACCACCGTGACCAGGTCGCCCTTGTCCAAACTGCGATCTCTCTCCGACGGCGGCGGCACGCCTGCGAGGCTGTCACCATCCCCCCTCATCCTCGAGACGACGGGCAAGGCGACATCAAAGGACGACAACCACATCAGAGACACCGCAATCGCCCCGAGCACGCCCCGTCGCGTTGATTTTACTCCCAAGGGCCTATCACTACACATGCCGCCGCACCAGCGAGACTTTGCCTCTCCGCCACCGCCTTCTGCCGCCGCCTCTGCCGTATTCACCAAGCCAGCACCTTTATCCCCCAAGCTCGACCATTCGTATGCCAGTCCGACAAACATCCTGCCCCGTCGCTCCCGCGGCCTCGACTTCTCCCGCGCAGCCACCAGCCTGCACCACTCGACCCTAGCCGAACAGTCCTCCCCCGACTCCTCCCCGACCATCGGCGGCGGCCGCGCCATGAACATACCCCAGCGACGAAGCAACGACTACAACAACGCCGAGCAATTGTCCAACTCGCTCTGGTCCATGATGGGCAACCAAGAACGCATGAACATATCGAGCTCCTTGGGCAGCGCCCATCCGTTCGCCTCGGATTCCTCATCCGATGACGACATGGACGAGGACATGGACGACGCAATCGTCACGACACCGCAGGTCAACCGAACCGGCGGACCGCTCGGTTCACCAGCGGTCAACAGCCTTCTGAGCTTCCAGCAACGCCAGCGCCCACGGAAGCAGCCGAGAAAGAAGAGTCGAGGGCCCCTGGGACTCGGCTTCGGCTCAGCCTCGGCTGGCGCGCTCTCCAAGTCACCGCCCATTGCCAAGGATATCCCCATGTCCCATTCACGACGCGAGAGCATCAGTTGGCAGGCGAACCAACTGCACATTTCGAGCGCCGACGAGGACAGGATGGGCGGCGACAGCATCAATGGTGTCATGGGCATCTCTGGCCAGAAGCCGCGGCACACCATCATGCGGCAGGTCGCCGCGCGGCGAGGAAATCTCATGGTAAGACAATCTTCCCTGAACGTTCCCATTTTTTCCCCTTGCTGATGCACTGCACAGCCCAAGACAAAAAACTTTGCCCGCATCAAGCACGCACTCCTCGAAGAAGGTGCGCCTGTGGAGACCGAGGTGCTCCGCGAACGCGAGGTGATACGACAGGTCCGTGAGAGCGACGTCGACCTCGAACCTAGAACAACCACCGCCCAGTCCTCGCCCAATCTGGTAAACCAGGACATCGACGAAGTGCCCGGTGAAGACATGAACATGAACCCCGACCAGGCAGGCCTTTCC